ATTTTTTATTTTTGCAGTCCTGGGAATTAAACCCAGGACCTCACACACGCTAGACAAGGGCTCTAACACTGAGCTATACTCGTAACCCTTTTTAAATTTTATTTTGAGATAAAAAAATAAAAGGTCTTGCTATATTGTCCAGGCTGGTCTTGAACACCTGGACTAAAGTGATCTTCTTGCCTCAGCCTCCTGAAGTACTGAGGTTATAGATGAGTGTCACTGCAATTGGAGATGTATTCCTGCAGGATCCAGGCCCAACTAGTGACCCACAGTGGTACCTACTTCACCCTATGAAGCCCTCTTTGCTTTTTCTTTCAAATTTCAGAGGCTTTAAATCTTGAGTTAATTGCATATCTCAGTTCATAGTACATTGCAGTCCTGGATTCACAGAATGGGCTTCTTTTCATTCATTTCCCCTTCTCCCCTCGCTTTTCCCCCGCTGGGCACCCATTCGAATGCATTTAAGCTGTAGCCTTGTTTGTGTGTGCTCTTGTCATGTACATGTCGCCTTTCTGTGTACAGCTGTGACTGGGCACATCTGGAACAGGGCTGCCAGAGCTTACCCTGATCCTTCCCTTTCCCTTCTGAAATGGTATTGTTAAGACTGACAAGTGTTGGGTTTGGTCTCTGCTTCCCGTCACTGCCCTGTCCTACACTGAATGCAGAAGCTGCTTTTCATCTGTCTGCTCCCCAGTGAAGGATACAGCTGTGGCCTCCAGCTCCCTGTCACCACAATCAGCTCAGTAGTCAGCCTCTTCAGAGGGGTCCCCATGTGGAGCTGTGAGGCCATTTCTTTGGGATGTGCACAGCCAAGAGCTGAATTGCTGGGCTAGAGAGTCTGTGCGTCCTTAGATCTTTGTTTTAATTTATTTTATTTGGTTTGGTGGTACTGGGAATTGAATCCAGGTCCTTCATTCCAAGCTTTTTATTTTGAGACAAGGTCTCACTAATTTGCTCAGGCTGGGCTCAAACTTGGGATCCTCCTCCCTCAACCTCCTGAGTGGCCGGGTTTACAAGCATGTGCCACTGCACTTTGCTCATTCTCAGGTGTTTTCTTTTGTTTTGTTGCTTTGTGAGACAGGCTCTTCCTGTGTTATTCAGGCTGGCCTCAGACTTGAACTCACAACAATCCTCTTGCCTCAGCTTCTCAAGTGCTGGAGTTCTCCACCACGCCTGGCTTCCTCCGGTGTTTTAATTGATGCCAGGCTGTTTTCCAGAGTGGCTTTGCCAAACTATATTCTTACCATCTTTGCTTGACCAGTGCTTGGCACTTCCCAGCTTTCTGGGTTTTGCCAGTTGAACAGGGTCAAGTGTTACCCTGTTGTCTTGATCTTGGAGGTTATGTCTTAGCGCCACTCACTGGATATATCACTTGAGGAAGTCATGGCAACCCAGTGAGGTGGCCACTATGCCAACCAGATATAGTAGGTCCTACAGTTTGGAGAGGTTGGATGACTTACGTGAGGTCACATAGTCTGGGAGGGGAATTTGAACTCGGAGTCCACACTCAGCCATTATCCTATTACTAGCATATTCCATCTCTCTTCTAAAAATACCGCTTGAGCTTACGTTGTAAGTTCCTGACAGGGCTTGTGCTTTGGAGCCTCTTTGGAGCCTGGGGAACTGGCTATGGAAGCTACTCAGGAAGCCACTGGTTCACAAGTTTGGAGGGGAGACTCAAAAGTGGCTCTTAGAGTTCATCTGGAGGACCACAGGGTACAAAAGGAAAAGGGGAATTGTGTGGTCCATGGCCCATGGAAATGCTGCCTGGGGGCTGGCCTTGGTAGGCAGGCATCCCTGGGCCCTGGCTTCCCATCCCCATTTGGCATCGAGAAGCATCTTGTCATTAGGTTGAGGAGCAGAGTGGTGCTGGGAAGGAGGCTTGCGGGGAAGGAAAAGGGGAAGACTGAAACAGTGAGGAACCCCCAAATCCCTTAGATGAAAGGGCTCATTACCCAGTTGGTGAAAATGAGGCTCAATAGGGTAAAGAAATGTGCTTGGGGTCACAGGCAGAGCTGAGACCCAAACATGTCTCTGGACATGCAGTTCAGAGCTTTTCCATTAATTCATCAGGAGAAGTTTGTGGTCGATCAGTGGGGAAGTATTTCTCAGTGAGAGAAGTGCTGGAAGATTTGGGGGTAGCAAAGACCCCCTTGCCCCTCACATTTCCACCTTAGATCAAGGATTTATTACCCCACTTCCTGTGAAGAAAGTATCTGGGCAACCAAGCCTAACCTCAGATCCATCCTCTATAATATAGGTAAAATAATACAAGTCTCTCAGAGTTGGTGGGACAATTGAGACAAAATAGTAAATGCAGACACCCTCCCGGCTCAGTCCCGGACCCTCTCCTGAGGAGAAGGAGTGTTGTGTTGGTGCACAGAAGAGCCATGTGAACGGACTGAGTTGCTTGGGTCTAAGTTAGAACATCTGATTTCCTTCAAGGGAGACAGAGATGAATTTGTGCTCCAGGAACCAAGTTAGCAATAGTCTTTCAGAACCTGTGGTGTAGCATGAAGTGCAGATAGACGTGAACTCCCCAAAAGGATTTTTTGGTTAGGAATGTTTTCTCAAGTTGCATGTAGAAGGTGGTGGGTGGCCCAAGGGGAAGGGTGGTTTCACAGAGGACCACCTAAAAACACTACACAGTGAGCAGAAAGACACAGGCCACTCCTCCTCTGCCATACCCCAGACAGCTCTACAAAAGGGGAAATTGTCTTGCTACTCACACCCTCTCTCACTGGGTGAGGGCACCTCCCCGGCTGGCTCAAGCTGGTCAAAAAGGCAGAAGAAGTTGGAGCTCTGGAGTCAGACAGTTGGCTCCAGTCCCAGCTCACCTCCTGTCTCTCTGAGCCTGTTTCTTCACCTGACAAACAGGAATGCAGAGAGCTATGTACGCGTTAGATCAAACCATCATGTTGTTGGTTCCTGCACTCAGTGGGCACCTGTGAATTCTTGTTATTTGTCATTTCTATCAGTGGAAAGATTCTGCCATGTACAGAATCACACTGGAGACAGGGGTCAGTGAGCCAAATGGACAGGTCCCTACGCCCATAGGGCCTTGGCTTGTGCTATCCGCCCTGGGCTGGGGCAGCTGAAGTGGGATGATCAGGGTCATCTCTTTGCCAGCTCCCTCTGGAGATACAGGTGGTGAAAAAGTCCAGTTGAGGTCTCCTTAAAAACACTTCCTAAGCATGAATAGAAGCAGAAGGTTTGGCTCTGGGGACATGGGTTAGTTGGAGGCCAAGATCCAAGTAGATCTTGGCATGGATGGGAAGCAATGCTGCATTGTGGAGAGATCTGGCCTGGGAACCTAGGGTCCCAGCTCTGATTCCCCCTAACATAGCAAGCTTCCTTGGATTGTGGATCTCCTGTGATGCTGGCACACCACGCACAGCCACGCTTGGCCTTTAGGTAAGGCCAGACTTCATTCCCCAGATCTAATGGTGAAAAAACTGACACTCTGAGAGGGTGACTTGACTAAGGCCTCACAGCTGGGATTCAAGCTCAAGCTCCTCTTTCTACCATGCTGAGCCCCTCAGCGGTGCTGAACAAGCACCTTTGCTCTCTTCCTTTGGCCCCACCCCCAACCCCAGGACTCATGGCCAGGAGCTGCTGTGTTAGTTCTCTGCACTTCCCAAGAGAAGATAGGTGGGTATGTCTACTCTTCCAGGCAGTGGACAGTGTGTCACCATGGAGCTGGGGCCCGTGGAAGGTGGATACTTGGAGCTTCTTAACAGTGATGTTGATCCCTTGCACCACTACCACTTCTATAACCAGATGGACTTGGCGGGAGAGGAAGAGATCGAGCTCTGTTCAGGTGAGCGCTCCTCCCTCTGGCCTCTCCTGCCTCTCCCTACCCACAGAGGGCCGCAGACAGCACTCAGGGAAAGTGCGGGCCACTGAGCTCCGGTCAGCACCACGAACAGCTCCCGTGCCTGTGCAGAGACCGCCTCCTGGCCAGGATGTCACCCAGCCCAGCTTGCGCATCTCCCTCCTTCCCGCCAGCCCGCTTCCCAGATCTTTCCTGCTTCATACAAGGGACATTTCCTCCCAGAACCCGACATGGACACCATCAACTGTGACCAGTTCAGCAGGCTGCTGTGTGACTTGGAAGGGGATGAAGCAACTAGAGAAGCATACGCCAACATTGGTGAGGGTGCATTCCCGAGCCTGGGAATAGGACAACCAAGGGGAAGGGCTCTTGCCTCTCCTTTGCTAATCTCACCCGTTCACGTGACCCACAGCAGGCCTGTCCTGCCGCAATCACCCCAGGGTGGGTGTGAGGACAGCCGGAAGAACGGAGCCTCCAGGAAGACAGGAATCAGGGAAACAGACCCTGCACTAACGACCACTGGCAATTTCCCTTCAGCCCCTCCGCCTCCATTTCTACACATTTTTTTGCCCCTTGCTCTTCTTTCTTTCCTTCCCATAAAACCCACGTCACACACCCGTGGTCTGGTATTCAAAATACCGACCATTTACTAGGTGCTCCTAGCATGTTACCTGCTGCAATGCATTATTGCACTGACTGCTTTGAACAACAGTGGAAGCCCATATCATTAAAATCTCTTGTTTACAGATGAGGAAATTGAGGTTTAGGGAGGTGAATCATTAGAGATGGTAAGGGGCGGGTCTGAAATTCTAACCCAGCTCTTCCTCTTTTCAAAATCCCTCCCAGCTTTCTCTCTCTCTTTCTTAGTCCTAGATATTGAACCCAGGGCCTTGTGCATGCTGGGCAAGTGCTCTACTACCAGGCTATAGCCCCAGCCCCAAAGTCCACATGAAAAGTGGCTGTGGCTGGGAGATTTCTAAGGCTTTGTGTGCAGTTTTAAAAAGAGGTATAGATTTCAGACGATGGCAGAACTCTTTGAGGAGAGCTACGGTTGATGTTGCTGCAGCTGCAGCTATTGACTTTTGAGGAGAGGTAGGTGGGAGATCCCCCCCCCACCAGGACCACCACTATCTCATTAGAGTCTTTGCTGAATGAGAAAAAGGTGCTCCTTCTTCTAGAAGATGCATTCTCTAACAGGAAGTAACAGCTTGGCTAGAAAAGTGCACTTGGGATTTCTGTCTCTATTTACCCTCTTGGCAGGGCACATTCGTGGGGCAAACAACTTGCACAACTGATCTTAATGGCCCTTTTCCTGGTAACCTAGGATCCACATTACTTGGAAGATCTAAGCTTGGCACAAGTGTGGCCAGTTCTTCCCCCAGTACAGTTAATACAACATCCCTCAATGGCAGAAATGGAAAGGAGCAGTAACTGTGTGTGTCTCAGAAATTACAGAACCGAGAGGCTGCCTGGTTCCTTCCCTTGCTGGGAATTTACTAGGGGGAAGCCAAAACATTTAGAGCACTCTCATTTCCTCACAACTGGAGGCAGTAATTAAGGACCTAAGCATTGCTTAGGATCTGTGGGCCTTTTTTTTTCTCTTTAGGGGCGTCACTAGAGGAAGTGGAAGGTGCTGAGCTACTGAGAGAGAACCTTTCTCCAAACTGTTCCTCAAGTCCCTGGGTTTCTCCCAGGCCTCTAGAAGGCTAGGCCCTCATCTGGCGAGCTGTCACTGTGGCACTCAGAATCATTACTATTTCAGCTTCCATGTGCATAGCGGGGGTCACAACCCCAGCCATCTGTAGGTGTTTGTGAGGTTTATGGGTGAAGCACCTAGCAAAGGAATTCTCACGGAGCAAACCCTCTGTAGGTGTTGGGTACCATCCTGCAGCCTTCATCACCACCACCAGCACCATCATCCCTCAGCTCATCCGTCTGCCATGGCTCCCCACTGCTTTTCATAAAACCAGCTCCTAGCTCTCCCCAGCATGAAACTTCCGTGCAGTCACTGACTCCCCATGCCCTGAACAACTTTCCTCACTCTGTCCCCACTACCCAGAAAGCCATCCACTCTCCTCCCCGCACATGCTGCCCCTTCTGTCAAGGCCTGGCTCAAAGTCCCTTCCTCTGGGAGGCCCTTTCTGATGGATCCACCCATTCTACACACTTTCCCCTGCCTTTCTATCATAACAGCTCTTCTCCCACTGGCTCCATGTCATGTGTCTTTTCATATCATCAACCACATTGATGGCATGTTGACTGGGTACTGGCCTCTACACTGAATGCTTTAAATGCAGAGCTTCTAATCATGATCACTTATCCCTGATAATAGGCATTATCATTATTTGTTTTCCTTACATAGATTGGAAACTGGGGGACCCAGAGAGGTTGAGTAACTGATCCAAGGTTGCCCAGTTAGGAGTGGCGAATAGAAGCAGAACCTGAACTCAAACCCCATGCCACTCTACTGCTCTGCCTTGAATGACTTGAGGGAATAGGAAGCTTTTGTGGATACATCCTTCACCCCTTCCACTAGCTTCCTACTAAAAGCCCACAAAGGCTCAGTGTTCATTTATTCATTGGCTCATTTATATAGTCAGCAACATTTGTTGAGGTCCTACTGTGTGCTGGGTCCAGTCCAAGACTGAACACACAGTAGGTCTTCTGCAAGCCCTTGCTGATTGTGATTTTCCTTGATCGCTCAGCGGAACTAGACAAGTATGTGTTCCAGGATGCCCAGCTGGAGGACCCAAGCAAGGACATTTTCAGTAAGTTGGGGTTGGCAGGGATCAGCCTGCATCCCCTTCCTTGTCCTTGGAGCACCATCCTCCCTAGTGACCACCGCTCCCTCCCCAGTTAGGAACACCCCGGGTTTGCCCAGGACCACCACTGATTATGAGTTGTCTCTGGTCTTTCTCCAAAGTAGAGCACATAGGACTGGAAGAGGTGACCAGTGAAAGTGTGGAGGTGCTGGAGGAAGCAGGGCAGAGAAGTCAGAAAAGATGTGAGTAAACCCCTCCTTGTCCCATCCAGCCTGGCCCTTTCTTGGCTCCAAAGCCTGCTGTGGCTCCCAGCTACTTCCCTTGTTAAATCCCACCTGCCTCCCTGACCTTGGGGCCCCTGCTTCTCTCTATCACCACTGCTCGCTGGTGACCCAGAGAAGAAAGAGACAGCCCAAGAGCACATGACCACTCTCCCAGTGAGGTTCAGCCCTGTTGATCACCATTCCTGAAATGAGTGATCACCATTCCTTTGTTCTGGTTTCTCTTTTGCCTTGCATGTCACTCTGGTATTTGAGGGAAGTCTCTTTAAGCACAGGTCCTAGCCTCAGCAAGAAGTGGGTTAGAATCCTGGGTCTGCTGTATATGGCCTGTGTGACTTTGCCCAGGTACCGGCACCTCTCTGAGCCTCCTACTCAGTCTCTCCTCCTCCTTGGTCTGTGTTCACGTGGCAGCTGACAGGAGCCTTTAAACACAGACCAGGCCTTGCTAATCCTCCAGTTACTACACAGCGCTTTCCACAAGGCCTGTATGATCTGGCTCCTCCCCGCTCTGCTAAGTTCCCTGCCCTTTACTTCCCTGTCCTTCCTGTCCCATCCTGCCCCTTCCTCTCCCTTCCCTTCCTTTCTCTTCCTCCTCTCTCTTCCTTTCCTTCTTTTATTGCTTTCTTTCCTTTCTCTTCTGTCTTTTCCGTCCTTTCCTCTCTTTTCTTTCTTTCTTTCTTTCTTTCTTTCTTTCTTTCTTTCTTTCTTTCTTTCTCTCCATTTTCATCCAATGAATATTTTCCTCAAGATTTTATTAAGAAAATTTCAACATACAATAAGGTAATGGGATCACACCGTAAACTCCTGGATTCCTACTGCTTGGGTTCTACAGCAGACCCTGGGCCGTGCTGCCTTATCCCCTGCCCGTGCCCTCCACTAGCCCTCTGCATCCACTGTGTGACTTCTGGTACACGGCAAAGTATACTGCAGAGCCTACACACAAGTACAAATCCGGGGAGCCTCTACCCTGCTTCACAGAGGAGGGGCTTGGGCTGTGTCACACAGGGACCGGCTCGGGAGGGATTCCAGAGCCAGCTTTGTGGGTGTTGTCTTCTGAGCTCAATCTGAGGAGCAGCTGGGGCCAGCGCAGTTAGAGGAAGGCAGGGGAATGGGCTCTCTAAGGCCTTCCCAGCTCCTGAGGTGAGGCCATGTGGCATGCTGGCATTGCAACTGTTCACGCTGTGCTGGGGCCATGCCTCCCCGGGCCGCTGACCATGGTGCTCTCTCTCCAGCCTTCCCAGAGGAGCGTCCCGTGGACCTGAAGCACAGGAAACTAGGTGAGCAGGGCAGAAAACTAGGTGAGCAGAGACCCCAGAGCTGGGGAGCTGGGTCTCTCAGGGGCCACAGAAACCAGCCTTGAAAGCCAAGGTTCAGAGAGGTAAAGTCACCTGTCTAAGGTTACACAGCAAGTGTGAGGGGGCATATGTGAGGGATACTGGGAGACTCAATTTCTCCCACTAAGCCTCTCCCCTACCAGCCTCCTTTTTAACTCTTTCAATGCAGAGCTGAAACCCACGCCACCTCACCCGAGCTCACTGTCTCCCACCAGGGGCTTTCTCTCCTCCTCTACCCCAGTCATTATGAAAAAGGAGAGGAGCAGAATGGGGTGGAGAACAGACTGAAGAACACAAGGCTTCTAGTGGGGGGCAGGAGGCTTAGTCTCTGTCCTCTGCAAGTGCCCATCTGGAAGCAGAGGCGGGAATCCTGCCCACAAGGACCCTGCGAGGGAGGAGAAGTGGTCTCTGTCCTCAGGGAGCCACCCACCTTGTGGGGAGGGCTCCCCTCCAAGCCAGGAGGCACCTGTTAATTCAGCCTGATGGCAGAGGCAAGAGCTCTGCCTGTGAAGACCGGCCTGGTTCTCAGCAGCATGTGCCTACCATCCTGGAGGCTATCAGCAGCCGCCCCCTCTGACGGGTCAGGCGCACGGTGCAGCCCCTGCCCTTCTCTGGGCAGAGCCCACAGCTGTCTGGCAGGACCTTGAGAGTGGCACTCTGGGATGCTCTCGACCTGGTCACAAAGAGCAGCTGGGTGTGACCTGCACGAACTGTTGCCTGTCGGCACCACTGCAGGAGACAGGTGTTTTCTCCAAGTGCCAGGCCGCCCCCCCCCCCGAAGGCCCTCTCTGCCTGTAATACAGCCCTCTTCTTGGCAGCCGAGCCCTTTGCTGGGCCCATAGTGACCGGCAGCTTCCTGGTGGGGCCAGCCAGCAACTCCTCCCCACTGTCCTGCCAGCCACCACCTTCCCTATTCAACCAGATGCCAGGCCCTGGCCACATCCAGCTGGAGGAAGCTGTGCAGGTGCCTGGTAGGTGCAGGGGCCTGGAGAGGGTGGGCTCCTTCCCTCTTGGGAGTTGGTGCTCTTAGGGACTCCCAGCAATATGACCCTACATACACCTCAGTGTCTCCTCAGTCCCAGTCGGTTTCGTCCTCAGGTCCCATCCCACCCAGACCCTGCGGAGAACACTGGGAAGGGAACCCCCACCCTGGGAGGCCAGGAGAGAATCTCTGCCGGTGGGAGAGCTTGCCCACCAGCTCCGTTCTGTCGTGACTTCTTCCCGGAGCCCCATCTCTCCCAGCTACCCTGCTAGGTGCTGGAGATAGCGCCATAGGCTGCTGCCCTTGGAGAATTAGAGCCCTGTATGGGTGTCAGATGTTAACCCCATCATCACAAAACAGAACCACAGAGACAGGGGCTGTGCAGATCCCACCTCTCTGCTTTGTCTCTTGCAGCGGACCCCTTCACATCCTTGGTGAGCTGCGTGACTCTCCCTGCTGGGCCCATTCAGTTCATCTCCACAGTCCCCACTCTGCCCCAGGGGCTCTGGCAGGTCTCAGGGCTGGGCACAGGGGCCTCCAGTATATTTATCTACCACGGTGAGTCTCTGAGGTCTGCCCCACCCCCACACCCCCTCCTTTCTACCTGACACACTCCCTGACCCGGTCCCCCCACAACCTCAGGCATTTGACAACTGTGGCATAGCACTTTCTCCTGGTGCTCCAGCTCCACCACTCCTTCCTTCCTCACTCTGTTCCCTCCTCCCCGCCCTTTCCTTTCTCTGTTCTCTTCTTTTCTTTGTATGGTGCTGTGATGGAACCCAGGGCCTTTTGCATCCTAGGCAATTGTTCTGCCACTAAGTTAGAACCCCAGCCCCAGCACCCCTTCCTTCATTTCCACCTCTAAAATATCAAAGCAGGGGAGTACAGCTCCACCAGGTGGTCTGGATGTGTGACCAAGAGTGGCTATGCAGCCTCCCATGTCATTTCCACATGACTGTTAGTTTTCCCTCTTCTGTAAACTTTATTTTTAAATTGTGACATTAACACATGCTCACTCATGAGCCAAATAGCAGATGCTTCCAAGAGTTAACTGAGGGTCTCCCTTCTTAGTGCATTGATGTGAACAGTTCGGTGTGTGTCCTTGCCTAGCTTTCTCAGATTTGTTTTTTGTTATTTTTCCTGATCAGTAAAATGATCCTGCCATGCTGAGAGATTGTAGATAGGCCCAGGGACAGCACATCTGGGCTCTGAGGGATAAGGTAGGAGGGTGCTTCCACACAAGTCAAGGGCATCGTTAGCTGGTTGCCAATTTCTGTATAATGCACTGCTTCCTCAGAAGCAAGAAGTTCCTGACATCCAAGAAAACAAGCACTGACCACATGGTGTTAAAAAGGCTATTATAGCATCTGTCCTGAGTTCCCTGTGAGCTGATTGCATCCATTGCACTGATGGGAAAACCAAGGCTTGGGGAGCTCTGGGAGCTCCAGAGTGCTTTCCTTGGCTTCATCCTGAAACATCCTCCTTTGGGTGTTCTCTGTCCTCTCTACAGAATTGCCAAGCTCCACAGCTTGCTTTGGAGGTGACCGGGTAGGTCCCTGGGTGGAAACCTAATTGTTCTCACTTCCTTCTCTACTTGCAATGTAGGTGAAGTACCCCAGGCCAGCCACACTGTCCCTTCCAGTGGCCCTGCTGTCAACAGCCTCCCAAAGTCCCCAGCCCGGCCGGGCTCCACCAGCCCCTTCGCTCCCTCTGCAGCTGACTCTCCCAGCATGCCTGAGCCGGCCCTGACCTCTCGCACAGATGTGACAGGTGACAACTTCTGGGGCCGGGCACGTCCTTGGAAGGGACAGAGCCACCTGCGAGGACAGGCAGGTCCTGTGTATGAGTTAAACAAGTCAGTCAAGAGTGCAGCTGAAGGCAGGTGGCAGCTGCAGAATCCAGGTCCCACTCATCAGCCTGCTTATTCCTGACAAGAAAGCAGACCCCATGGCCAGGCCTTCTGAATCTAGAAATTCTGATTTTCACATAGATACCATGATTTTTAAAACACTGGTGAAAAACTTTAAAGTACACTGGCAAGACAAAATAAAGCAAAATACTCCCCCCTCCCAAAAAGCCAGGTGGTGGTACCACACACCTGTAATTCCAGCACTCAGGAGGCTGAAGTAGGAGGATCCCTGTGAGTTTGAGGCCAGCCTGGGTTACACAGTGAGTTCAAGGCCAGCCTGGAATAGTGAGACCCTATATCAAAAAGAAAAAGACACCACTACAGCTTCAGGTCACCTCCTTATAACCTAGGCTTAGAAGACGAGGCTGGTTTTGTGCTTGTTCTGTGTAAGCTTTGCCCTCGGGATCTGAGGACCAGGTGGCCAGAGGAGGGATGTCCCTGGGGGTTCCCCACCCTAACTCTTCCCTGGCTTCTCCATCTGCAGAGGATGAAATATCCCCTTCCCCATGCCAGGCAGCTGCAGAGGACGCCATACAGCTTCCCAAATGGCCTGGTGAGTGGTGGCCGGGTCCCTCCCTCCTGGGTGCTGACACAGAAGCCCCCACCTGGCTTCAGTTTACTCAAGCAAAGCTTATTCAGGCCCTTGTGTGTGATCTTTTCATTCATTCATTCATTCATTCATTCACATCATCTCAGCATTCATTCCGCCACTCATTCCCGTGAAACCTACTGAGAACCTGCCCCTCAGTAAGCCCCGCCCCCAATGCCACCCAGCATGGGTGTAGACAGCCCACCTGCAAGGCTGAGAGGCTGCAGGAGCGGAGAGTGGGTCATGGAGAGAGTGGAGGAAGGAAGAAGCCAATGGGTGTGAGTAATGGAAGGTGGGAATAAAGGAGTGAGTCGGGCCGGGTGTAGTGGTGTACACTTGTAATCCCAGCACTCAGGAGGCTGAGGTAGGAGGATTGCTGCAAATACGAGGCCAGTTTGGGCTGCATAGTGAGTTCAAGGCCAGCCTGGCCTACACAATGAGACCCTGTCTCAAAAAACAAACTAATAAACAAACAAAAAAGGAATAAGTAAGGGACTTGGTTAATTACCAAGTGCTTAAATTAGGAAGAACATGAGCTTATATTAGATCATTGATAGCTCATACTGCCCTAATGTCACCTTCATTTTACAGAAAAGGATATTAAGGCACAGCAGAGTGTATAATGTACTCAAGATTATACCACGTGGTGCAGCCAGGATTTGAATCTAGCCTCCAGGTTCTACTGTCTTAAGTCTTAAACCTCCTCCTCCCTGATCCTGTCTGCATGGCTGAGTGACAAAAGATTAGCAAATAAAAAAGGAATAAGAAAAGGTATACAGTGAAACTGAGCCTGGTGATCTATGCCTGTAATCCCAACACTCTGGGAGGCTGAGGCAGGAGAACTGTAAGTTTGAGGCCAGCTTGGACAATTTAGTGACCAGTGAGACCCTGTCTCAAAATAAAAAATAAAACGGGCTGGGAATGTTGCTCAGTGGGAAGGCCCTGGGTTCAATCCCCAGTGCTACAAGAAAAAAAAGTTGGAGGGGGATCAGTAGGCAAACTAGTGAGAAGGGGATTAAATAAGCGGGTGTGGGAGGAAGGAAGGAGTGAGTGCCTGGAACGGACGAGGCGGTCAGTGAAGGTGGTGGGCGATGGAGAAGAACTGGTGAGGGTGGCTGTCCTGCCACCTGCTTCCCCGCCCGGACGCAGCCCAACTGACCTTGCCTTTGCAGAGACGGTGAGGCAGTTCTACCACGCACTGCAGGACTGGCACCACACAGAGCCCACAGGCCCGGAGGCCATAATGGTGGAGGTGGACCTGCTGAAAGCCCGGCTGGAGAAGGGCAGCCACAAGAGCCAGGAGAGGGAGCTTGCCATCGCAGACTGGTCTGAGCGGCAGCTGGCCAGTGGGGGTCTGGCTGAAGTGCTGCTGGCTGCCAGGGACCGCCAACGACCACGAGAGACCCAAGTGATTGCCATGCTGGGCAAGGCCGGGCAGGGGAAGAGCCACTGGGCGCGGGCAGTGGGCCGGGCCTGGGCCTGTGGCCAGCTTCCACAGTATGACTTTGTCTTCTACGTGCCCTGTTACTGCTTGGACCACCCAGGGGATACCTACCGCCTACAGGATCTGCTCTGCTCCCCGGGCCCTCAGCCACCAGCCATGGATGACCAAATTTTCAGTCACATATCCAGGAGGCCCGACCGCGTCCTGCTCATCCTGGATGCCTTTGAGGAACTGGAAGCTCAGGACAGCTTCCTGCATGGTGCTGGTGGGCCAGCACACACAGAGCCCTGCTCCCTCCGGGGGCTGCTGGCCGGGATCCTTCAGCGCAGGCTAATGCGAGGCTGCACGCTGCTCCTCACAGCCCAGCCCCGGGGCCGCCTGGCCCAGGTCCTGGGCAAGGCTGATGCCCTGTTCGAAGTGGCTGGTTTCTCCGCTGAACAGGCCCAGACATATGTAAGGCGCTACTTCAAGGGCTCAGAGCACCAAGAGCGAGCTCTAACGCTTCTTCAGGCCCAGCCATTTCTCCTCAGTCACAGCCACAACCCCACTCTGTGCCGGGCAGTGTGCCAGCTCTTGGAGACCCTGCTGCGGCAAGGGGAGGAGGCTAAGCTTCCCTCCACACTCACAGGACTCTATGTTGGCCTGCTAGGCCCGGTGACCCGGGACAGCCCCCCAGGTGCCCTGATAGGACTGGCCAAGCTGGCCTGGGAGCTGGGTCGCAGACACCAAAGTACCCTGCGGGAGAGCCAGTTCCCATCAGAGCGGGTGAGGACCTGGGCTGTGGCCAAAGGCTTGGTGCAACCTGTAGCGCAACAGGTGCCAGGGGCTGCCGAGGCCGAGCTGGCCTTCTCCAGTTTCCTCCTGCAGTGCTTCCTGGGGGCCCTGTGGCTGGCTCTGAGCAACGAAATCAAGGACAAGGAGCTGCCACAGTTTTTAGCACTGACCCCAAGGAAAAAGAGGCCTTATGACAACTGGATGGAGGGGGTGCCACGCTTTCTGGCTGGACTGATTTTCCAGCCGCGCGCACACTGCCTGGGAGCCCTGGTTCGATCTGCAGCCACCACCTCGACAGACAGGAAGAAGAAGGTGCTCACCAGGTACCTGAAGCGCCTGCAGCCCAGGACGCTGCAGGCTGCGCGGCTGCTGGAGCTGCTACACTGCGCTCATGAGGCCCACGAGGCTGGGATCTGGATGCATGTGGTGCGGGAGCTGCCTGCACACCTGTCCTTCCTGGGCACACGGCTCACACCGCCTGATGCCCATGTGCTGGGCCAGGCCTTGCAGGCAGCTGGCCAAGACTTTTCTCTGGACCTCCGCAGCACAGGCATTGACCCCTCGGGCCTCGGGAACCTCGTGGGACTCAGCTGCGTCACCCATTTCAGGTGGGCGCCAGGTACGGGAAGAGCTGCCTCCACTGGCATGGACGGTCACTCTGTGCGATCTCTCCTAACATGCACAGCAGCAAGCAGGCAGATGGAATCCTCCCATGCTGAGGCTCAGAGAAGGGCAGCTGCTTACCCAAAGCCACACAGGCAGCGAAGGGCAGTGTTTTCCTTCCAACAAATATCTGAAGGCCCACTCTGTGTCCTGGACTCAAATTTGTTTCCCCTCCCCCATCCCTGATCAAGGATCCATTCTCTCATGCTTAAAGTCACAGCCTCCCCCTGACGTCTCTACCTCCCTTCTCTCCTTTTCTATCCCACTTTATAATCAGCCCCCAGAACAGCCTTCCTGGAACTTGGATTCGATCGCATCACACCTTCACGCGCACCCCTTCCGGGGCACACCACCGCCCTCAGAACGAAGCCCAGCCTCCTTCATTTGGCTCATTTCAATCCTTCTACAATTGGCGTTAGCCCTTTAATCTCCAGAGAATCACTCCCATGTTTCCCCTAAACATTTTACCTAAGCTGTAAGCTCTGACACAGTTGTGCCCAGAACTCATTACTGAGCTTCCTGGTAGCCAAAACCAAAAAGAGAAACAAAACCAGAGTGAGAGTTTCGAGAAGTGGAGAATCGGTAAAGGCAGCAATGGCCACAGACAGCCTTCTGCAGGAGGTGGAGGCTGAGCTAAGGATGGAAAGGATCTGAGTAGAGAGGACATTGCTTCATGGAGCTGCCCCTCCGTTACGGTCTAGCCCGGTCACTGTGCCTGGGTCTGAGACCCTCTCTCCACAGGGCGCCCTTGAGTGACACCGTGAGGCTCTGGGAGTCCCTGCAGCAGCGCGGGGAGACCCAGCTTCTCCAGGCAGCAGAGGGGAAGTTCACCATTGAGCCATTTAAGGCCAAGTCCCTGAAGGACGTGGAAGACCTGGGCCACCTTGTGCAGACCCAGAGGTGAGGGGGAGACAGGACTGAAGGTCACACAGGCAGTGCAGGCTGAGGGCCTGCACGACCTGTTGCCAAGTTCGTCAAGAGCTTTGTCTCAGTGTCTCTGCTTCTTTGAGTTGCCACGGTTCCCCAGACCTCTCACCACAGTTGCCCCAGGCCCGGCCCCCACAATGTGACACTGCTCCATTCAAAATGGGCCATCTCTTTCTCACCTAAAGCCAAGGAGAAACTCTCTGCCAGCAGTTAATAAGGATGCCTTCAGTATCTAGGGACAAATGTGGCCCTCCAGCCACCCTCCCAGGCACCCAGGACCAGTGTCAGCCCCATGTTAGCGATGGCAGAGCCGAGGTGCACAGAGCAAAGGCAACCTGGTCACACAGCAAGTTAGCTGTCTCACTCTCTCCTTGAGCGCCTGCTGTGCGCTGTGAGCTGGGTGCTCCGAAGGGCCTATTCTGAGCCCACTTTCCATGAAACACACACTCCTGGTGTTTTCCTGGGATGGAAGCCAGAGTCTTGCATGTGCTAGGCAATTGCTCTATCATGGAGCCATATCCCCAGCCCCAGGGAACATGGGGCACTGGGGTAGGCATCAAGGGGCACGCAGGCAGGGCCCCAGGCACTGAAGGGCCTATTCCCCTTACCATGACCTGCTCTCTCTAGGTTGAGAAGTTCCTCCGAAGACACAGACCGGGAGCTCCCCGCTGTCCGAGACCTGAAGAAGCTGGAGTTTGCGTAAGTCATGGGCACACAGCTTCCTCTCCAGCATTCACTGATCTTGGGCCAGCAGCAGGAACAGGGATCCCTAGAACCATTCTTTCCCTGGCACCCACCACTTTGGAAACCAGCTTCTGGCCAGTATGGGCAAGTGCCGAAGCGGGCTCCTGGAATTCAAGGTAACCCGACTACTTGATGGTTAACTTGCTCATTCCCATTTACTAAACTGAATGGCGAGGCTTCCGTCAGTCCATGGTGGGCTGACATAGTGAGCTCCCCGCTGCGGGAGGTTGGAGAGCTTCCTGGGGGAGGCAACGTCTGCACTGAAGTTTGACTACAGACTAGGAATGAGCCAAGTGGTCTGGTCACGCAAGAGAGACGTGTGACTTGCAGGAACCATAACTCAGCCAAGGGCAGGAGAAGGACCCAAAGTACCCCAGCTCATGACCTCCCATGGCAGATGCCACCAGGTGCCCTGTGTGCCTGAGTGTACTCACTCCCATGACCACAGGCTAGACTCCCCAGGGGACTCACAGTCCTGGCCATGACCAGTGGCACCCCAGCTTTCTGCCCCATCTCCCAACAGTGGTGCCCAGCCCTGACTGCTCGCCAGAGTCACCAGTGGTCTCAGACATGCAGACATAAGTAGAGGTAAATGAGCCACAGCCTGGTGTGCCTGGGGCTGGCCTGGTTTTTAGCTCCACAAGTTCTGTGTCCTGGTGAAGCCCTTGGACTCAGGCAAACAGAGGTAGTCGGTCATGCTATGTATAGTAGGTAGGCCTGGGAGCCACCATCCTGGCCAGTACTGTGAGTGTGTCAGAAATGTCCCCAGGCCACTACACAGGGGCAGCCTATCAGCACATGGGCCTGAGGAGCCAAAGTACTTCTTGTATTTACATCTGTCTGCCAGAATTCGGCTTTCAACTGGCAAAGTACTTTCACCCCATTATCCCAGGTGATTCTCCAGGGTCTTGTTATCATCTTCCCTTTGTATACATGGGGACACTGAGGCCCAGAAAGTTTAAATTGTTTCTCCAAAGTCATAAAAGTCAGGTCAGCTGGATTCTGAGCTCCAACCAAGGAACAAACTAAACCAGCATTTGGTCCTCAGTGGGGATCTATGATCACCTAAGAATTAGTAAGGAATTTTTCAGCACCAACTGAGGATTTGGTGCACTTCACATGTATATAATCTCATTCATTGCAAGCTGCTCTGGCAGACAGTCATCACTCTCCCCATCTGACAGATGAGAAAACTGAGGCCCCGTGAGGGTAAGTGACTTTAGCTAACAAGGTTTGTGATACCCACAAGCTGTCAGCTCCCCTGATCACTGTCTTCCCACCCCGCCCCAGAAAAAGCCAGGGACTTCTTGTTTTGAACAAAAGGTGAGGTACCAAATTTGTGCAGAGGTAAAAATATTGTCGAAAAGAGGAAATGTCTGAAGACAATCACTGTGAGCCCTTTCCGGCATGACTTATTTTCAGTTTAAAAAGCCCCTAGTTCAGGGTGGGAACTGCGCTCTGGGGAACAGCAGCCATGTGGTGGAACAGCTTCAGCCCTGGAGCACAGCCACCTGGAGGCTGGAACCCCGGGAAGGTTCAAAGGGAAGGAAGGAAGGAAGAAGGGAAGGAAGGAAGGAAGGAGGGAAGGAAGGAAGGAAGGGAAGGCAGGGAAGGGAAGGGAAGGAGGAAGGAGGACCGTTTTGGGTGTCCACTCTGCTGCCACTTTTCTGGGTACCTGTCTGCCTCCTTTGCTGGTCACATCAGGCTGCTCAAAACCCCGCAACCGTGAACATGCCGGGGGCGTTCCCTGGTGCCACCAGCTACCGCCTGGCCCCGTTACTGCCTGGGCCTCTCTGGCTGCCTCCTGTCTGTCACATGCACCTCCCAAGGGTTTTCAGCCTCAAAGGGCGAGACCCGGCCTCGGGCTCTGCCTTGCCAGTGCCCTTCCTGGAACGCTGCTCCCCGGAGCCCCGTGCAGCCCCCAGACTGGTTTCAGTCTGATCTCTTCTGATCCTCCTACTGCAGGGGAGGAGGCCCATTCTGACCCTCCTGTTTAAAAATAACATTCCAGCCCTCACCATTGTGCCTGTCTCTATCAATCACTGTCTCTCATTCCAGATCTCATTCCAGATCTGACTTCTCTGATTATCTGTCCCCTCCTGGAACACCGGTTCCCCCAAGGCAGGGAATTTCACCCGCTTTGCTCATGGCTTTTTCCCTGGGCCTGGGAGAAAGTAGACAAGCAGTAAATATTGGATGGTGGGTCCCTTAATCCTCCCAGCCACCTCCTAAGATCAGGGCTAAATACTGAGGGAGACACAGAGATAAAGGGGTTTGCCAAGGCCCCAGCCCAGGGCTGAGTGCAGACTCCAACACCGGGTCCCCACTCCGAGGCCGTTCCCTGAGGCTTGTGGATCCCAGAGCTTGGGATTTCTGAGGAGATCCTTTCAGAATGGTTATAAGTGACCACGTGCCGGTACCATCCTTTAATTTTCATCAAGTATGTTCATGTAAACAATAGCAACCAAGTAATCACTGCTGGTGGCATAATTTTATCAAAAGATGATCATTTTAAAATACCAACAAAGACAGGTGTGGTGGCGCACTCTTGTAATCCCAGCACTGGGGAGGCTGAGGCAGGAGGATTGCTTTGAGTTTGAGGCCAGGCTGGGCTACAAAGTGAGTTCAAGACCAGCCTTAACTGCACAGCAAAACTCTGGCTCAAAAAAAAACAAAAAGTATTAACAAAGTTTGAAGGATGTAATTTCAGTGTAAAAGACAATTCTTTATATTTAATACATTCAATGACTTTTTAAAAACAAAACAATACAGCCCTTCATTGTCCTTTTTTTTTTTTTAATTCCCTTGAAGTGTTTGTAGTCTAAATGTCAATCCAGGCTGTGTGAACTTGAGCTAGTTACCTAACCTCTCTGTGCCTCAGCTTTCCCATCTGTAAAATGTGGAAGAGGAGTCCTTAGTTCAGAGTCATAAAGATTAAATCCGATCTAAGCTGACTGAAGGACTCAACGTGGGCCTGGCATATAATCAGTGCTCTAAAAAAACCAAAGGTTCTTTTTGTTATTGAAACGCAAAGACAATAAGTAAGCCCTGTGGGGTCCTGCTGGTGGTGATCCTCAGATACTGTTTGGGGTCCCTCTCTCAAGGCGAGGTGGGGGGAGAGTGAGTGTGTGTGGATGATGTGAGCAGGCGTGAGAACGGGCTCCCCACTCAGAGAAAGCTCGGCACCCACCTGGCCCCTTGGGGGGCTTTGTGAGATCTACCCCAACAGAAGGTGTGGAGGGCCAGCTGGTGGGGGCTTCTGTGCCATGTGTCTGCCCCGCCCTGGGGCTGAAGGGAGGCCTGGGAATGTCCTGACATCTGACCCTGCCTTTTCCCTTAGGCTGGGCCCCATGTTGGGCCCCCAAGCTTTCCCCAAACTGGCAAGGATCCTGCCAGCCTTTTCCTCCCTTCAGCACCTGGAGTAAGTATGTCCTTGGGACCTCCCCTCCGCTGTGGCCCCCGCGTCTCAGAGCCTGTCCTGTCGCCAGGGCGCCTGCAAAGGGGTGACCTCTCCTCGTCCCTGTCTCTCTCCCCGACCACTTCCTCAGCATGGCTCTGCGAGTGATGGGATGAGCCTGCTGCAGGGCAGAGACAGCCGATGGGAATCTCCAGGAATAAAGGCAGGGTGGGGTCCTTCGGACCTTTGAGACAATCTCCCTGCCTGGTCTCGCCTCCCCGGACTTGCCGATCTTAGCGTCTGCGCTGGAGAGGTCAAGGGGGCAAACCCCACTTCGTAATCGAACTTCCAGGGCTGAAGGGAGTCTTTCAAAGTCGAGGAGCTCCCAAGAGCAAGAGGGTTAGGTCCATGGGAAGTCCCACTTTGTCACCTGGCTGGCCCCGGGTGCTGCAGGCCGCCTCTCACTGCTGGGGACGGGCTGCCTGCTCCTGCACCGTTATGCCATGTCCAGGGCTGGGGGAACAGAAACGGAGGGAGGAGGACACTGGTCACAGCCCCTGTCTGATTCCATCTGCAGCCTGGACTCGCTGAGCGAGAACAAGATTGGGGACACAGGCGTCTCGCAGCTCTCGGCCACCTTCCCTCAGCTGAAGGCACTGGAGACACTCAAGTGAGTGGCAGGGCCCGCCTTCCCCACCCTCCCTGCCGCCCTCCCCGCCGTTTGTGTTGCCCAGAGTCCAGCGGCTCCTGACTCTGATTCTTGCGCTCGCGCATCCGTGCAGTCCTGGACCCGCCCCCAGCTCCGCACCTCTCTGTACAGTTGTGCGCTCGTTCTCCTCGGTCGTTAGTCCTTTATCTGCGCAGCTGTTACTCATCCAGCTGCTCAGGCAGTCATTTTTTATCTCACTGTCCACCTGCCCGGTCATTTGCTATTGTAATCGGCAAATATTTCAGGAACGTGTAGGATCCCAGGCACCACTGTAGATCCTAGAGGTGTAGCTTTGAAGAGACTAACAAATCCCCTGAGCTTGGGGATTTTAAATTCTAGCAAGGAGACACAACAAACCAGAAGCAAACGCCTAAATGACTGTGCAGTTACAAAGTATACAGTATTAAAAGTAAAGTTTAATGACAGAAAAGTATATGGGGGGTTGAAGTAGGAGAGACAGGTTAGGATTTACCAGGAAAAACTTACTGTCAAAATGGTAACTTTTTTTTAACTGTTCTGGATTCTGGAAAGTTGGACATGGGTAAATGCAGATGGATTGACTCTTTTTTTCTGAATAGAGGTTATAAAATCTGCCCACATTCCCCCTCATAATTAAGAGTGGGATGGCCAAATATTTCGGCAGGATTCACTTGACCGTGTCCTTGATTGTAAGATACTGGGACTTCCCGGGGAATTTATAGAGTTTGAAGTAGCGCTGTAAGCTCAGTTTCCTTCCCAGAGTCCCCCCTGCCCTCCCTCTCCCCTCTCCCTTGGCCCTTAGGTATTTATTGAGTGCCTACTATGTGCTCAATACTGCTATAGACACAAGGTTGTAATCATGATCAAAACATAAACAGCCCGCTCTCTGCAGAGCCCACCACTTAATTAAACAAATAACATTTAATTGCAGTGCTGGTGAGTGGCCCAGAAGGGAGAGGATGTTATAAAATCATACATGCGGGGAGGGGAGCGCTCTCTCTCCCTCTCTTCCTTCCCTCCCTCCCCCAGCAACAGCTCACCCCATCACCCTACTCTGAGCATCACAGGACTCTCCTATCTGTCAGCAGTTAGTGTAGACTTACCATGCCCATGGCACAACCGCAGTTCGTTACCCATGACTGGCGGGGGGTGGACTGTCCCCGTTCACAGCACAGGCTGCCCCGTGGTCTCCCGGGGGCGGGGGGTGGGGGATGGACGCTGGTTGGGGAGGGCCTGTAAGCGCGGTCCTCAGCGGGTCTCTCCCGTGTCCCCGCAGCCTGTCCCAGAACAGCATCACAGACGCGGGAGCCTGCAAGCTTGCTGAGGCCCTGCCCTCGCTCTCCGCGTCCCTTCTCAGGCTCAGGTGAGTAGGGTCCTGCACGAGCAGGTGGGCGGGGGAGGCCAGGGAGCCTCGGGCAGCTGTAGGGCCCGACACCAGGACTCCGGAAGCAATCACTTCAGGCCTTGGAAACGGGCGGGAGGGGGCGTGGTGTCTGCAGAACCCGGTATGGACACAGCTCCCTGGAGCTGGGTGTCACCACCGCCTTGAACAGGGAGAGCCGCAGGGCCCAGGGGAAGAAATCTGGGCAGATCCCTTACTGGTCCTGAGCCGCTGGAGTCTCAACTGGGAAATAGATACTATCCTGATGGCCTCTGTAAAGCTCTGGGTGCAATGCCTGACTCTGGCCAGCAGTAGATCGCCACACACCGCTCCCGCGGTGGCCGGTGGGACGGCAGGACTCTCCGGAAAGCTGTCACTCACACACCAGTCAGTGCTTACACTGCCACCTTCTGGTAGACCTCGGGATAGCAGGAAATTCCTTCCCGTCTGCTGTGGTACCAGAGACAGGCAGAAGAGTAGGTTCAGCTCAGCACCCCGCAGCTCTCCTAACTCACCAGCCTGGGACTTCCCTTCCCTTCCCCAGCCCTCGTCATTTGCTGAGGACAGCCCGAGTTGGATTCCAGGAAAAGTGACTTCTGGCCCATCTCTGTTGATGTGTGTCCATTCACATGTCTTTCCAGCAGGACCATGAGGTGCAGCTGCACAGGCTATGCACTGCACAACTCACAGTCTATGTGACCAGTGCCCACCCCCTAGAGCTGTTACAGGCATCTGATATCCCCTGACACGAACCGTGGGCCAGAACCTGTGCTAGGAAGTAGAGATAAAACTATGAGCAAGATGGATGTTTTTGCTTTCAAGTTTCTTGCCCAGTTAGGAAGTAAACACAGGCACAAAGTATTTTGAAGTAGTGACATGCTGCAAAGAAACAAATGCAGCCCAGGAGAAGGCAATGGAGATGATTGGCCAGTTCACTGGGAGTGGTAAGGGCAGCTGCAGGAAGTGACCTTTTTATGGGAAGCTCTGGGGAAAAGCACTGCAGCAAGAGGGAGCAGCAGATGCAAAGGCCCTGACGTGAGAGAGGTTGTCATGGGCAGAGTGCATGAAGGACAGATGAGGTGGGGGAGATCACTGGGGTCCAGGTCAGGCAGCGGGTGCATGTAGGTCAGGCAGAGACATTCCTGGCTTTTGCCTGGTGAACAAGAAGTAGGAGGGGTGTGTGAAGGTAATATCTGATCTGATGTGAACTACAAGAGTTATCAGGCGGGGAGTAGCTCAGTGGTGGAGCACTTGTCTGGCATGTGTGAGGTTCTAGGTTCTATCCCAGAACCACCAAAAAAAAGGAAAGAAACAAAGGCTCATCGTATTTCATAGACGAAAGTGCCAGCCACATGAAGGCACTGTTAAAAGGACAAAACACTGCTGACTAAACTGCAGCACTGTTGGTCTCAGATGTGGACATGGGCATCTCAACCTCAAAGAAATGCAAGGACTCTGGCCCCCTGCAGAGAGGAAGAAGAGGCTTCTGGGTTCTGAGGCCCACCCCAGGGGAAGTGGCACAGCCTCTGCCTGCCACCCAGCCACTCAGGCTCTCCAGCACGCTGGGGTTGAGCCTGAATCCTCCTCCGCAGTGCAGACCTGCTGCCTTCGCACGCAACCAAGCGGTGCGGCTCAGAGGCTGAGTCACAGCAAGTGCTGAAACTGGAGCCACGCAGCACCGGCCTACTGAACGCATGCCTGGCGCTGAGCGTAGTGGGAGTTAGCACCAGCAATACCCGCTGAGCTACTGCTCCGCATGATGGCCAGTGACTGCTTTTGCTCTTCCTGCCACCAATGCCAATCACACCTTCTACAAGCACTCAGGGCGGGTGACAGTTGCTCCTGTGAGAGTCATAACCATACTTCACAGTTCACTCCACCTACCAGCAGGAACTCTTGCTCTTCCCCATAGTTATTCGATCGTGACCATTGCATAGATGAGCAGACTGTGTCTCGGGGGAGTTTAAGTAACTTGCCCAGCATTCCACAGGTGGCAGGAGGCATAGCTGGGATTTGAACCCAGGAAGTCATTCTTCCTGAGGGCTTCCACACTCTCAGCTGAGAAGAAACTTCCTTCCAGTCCTGCTGCCTCTCTGAACCCACTGCGTGACCACAGGGAAGCAGCCTCAACTCTCAGGGCCTCAGTTTGCCCCTCTCTAAACAATGGGACAACCATTACAGTTAGATATGGATTCTGGGGGACCCTGACCCTTCTCTCAGCACCTCAGAACTCTTCCCTGACCTCTGTCTCTGGCAGCCTGTACAACAACTGCATCGGTGACGTGGGCGCTGAGAGCCTGGCACGTGCGCTTCCTGAGATGGGGTCCCTGCGGGTGATGGAGTGAGTGTGGGCAGAGTCTGGGCAGAGGGGAGGTGCATCATGGGAAGGCCTTGGTCTGGAGATGGACGGTCCCCAGCATCAGGCTTCAGAATGAGTTTCTCTCCCCAGTGTCCAGTACAACAAGTTCACGGCCATGGGCGCCCAACAGTTGGCTGCCAGCCTGCGGAAGTGCCCTCGCATGGAGACCCTGGCGTAAGTCTCCCCAGCCAGTGTGGGGCTCAGCATGTGTCCCCAGGGTTCAAACCCCCTCTCCCGGCACCAGTGGGGGGCCTTGGCAGGCAGGCATCCATCCTTCCGTCCGTTTCTTATCTGTGAAATGCAGATGATGATAAGACCTCCCCTGGAAGGCTTTGGGAGGTTTAAATTCGTTAGGGTGTGGAAAGTTCCTAGGACCCCAGAATGCTCAGTGAGTGCTTCAGATGAGCCATGTAGGTTGTCTACACTCACTATTCTTGACCCATAAAATTGCAACTTCATATACTTTGAACTTATTTTTTTATTACAGCAGCATGATATGTAACACCCAATACTGGTGCTTTATACTCTTTTAAAGTATTTTCACCTACTTAATCACTCGTGTCTTCTAAGATAGATAGGGTAGGTCTCATAAGACCCATGTCAGCTCACAGATGAGGAGGATAAGGCACAGAGCAGTAACCAATCTTTTTTTTTTTTTTTTTCCTGCACTAAGAATTGAACCTAGCGCCTTCACACCAAGCTCTATCTCTATCCATTTATCATTTGTGAAATTTTGTGACAGGATCTTGCTAAATTGCCTAGGCTGGGGTCAAATCTGTGATCCTCCTGCCTCTGCCTCCCAGAGTGCTGAGATTACAGGAGTGTACCACCATGCCTAGTTAGTAACCAATCTATTTGAAGTCAAACAGCAAGTCAACAGCAGAACCAGAAGCGTATCAGATCTCTGTGCTACTGCTATGCATGAGTAACCAGACCTCCTTGGGCCTCTTTCTTCCCACAGCCCCCCAGCTGCTACACATACCACTCTACACCGGCACCCTGGGGAGTCACTGGTGCTCTAGGCTGAGTGGGAGGAGGCATTTTGTGGTCATCTTGCTTTGGGGGCTCTCAGCCACCTTCTCTCCTCTGGCCTGGCTACTGAGTCCCACGACCCTCCTTTACAGGATGTGGACACCCACCATCCCGTTTGGTGTCCAGGAACACCTACATCAGCTGGACTCCCGGATCAGCCTACGATGACCCTGCTGTGCCCTGAATAAGGTGACTAGGTGAGCTCAGGAGTGGGGACCATGGGGACACCTGGAGCCGGTGTCTTTGTGGAGATGGGATCCAGATAAATAAGGCAGGGCAATCAGGTGGGGCTAGGTGGCCATCTCTGAATCCGCACAGTCTGGGACTCCCCTGTATCCACGCGGGGCCCCCTGGGGGTATTCTGGGGCTGAGGATTCTCCGTGGACAGGATAGAGACCCAGGAAAGGCAGCAGGGCCGCTGTGCACACCCCACAGCCTGAGCACAGGAAAATCCTTCCTTTGGGACTGCCAAGCCTCTCCTGCTGCGGGCTGCCCCATGCTCTGGATGCATTTTCCCGGGCAGTGCTTCTCATTGTGAAGAGAACTGTCCCCTTAGCCCTGTTCTCCCTCCATGGCCAACCTTTCCTGAGCTGTGCTGCAATCCCCTCTGGCCCTGCTCTAGTCCCACAGCACCCCCATGTGTCAAGGCTGCCCTACCTAAAACCCCAGCTCACTTCCCTCTCCTGACCCCACAGCAATACTCTGAGGACACTGAGCACGCTGGACCTGTGGACAGAGTTCATCTCACAGCTGCAAGGCTCCTTCAGGCATGGATAGACAATAGTCTTTTCCAGCTGGTGAGCGCCAAAGACCGATGTGGCCCACTCCGGAGGCCTGAGGTGCTCCGTGTTTATTCCTAGACAGCCATGGCCAGGCCAGCATGAGGGACTGAGGCCGCTGTGTGTCTGCCTGCTTGGTCCCTGGTCAGCCTGGCGAGAGGGCCCTTCTCCTTGGCAGGGCCAGCTTGGTGCTCTGAAGATGCCCATGGACAACCCCGTCTGCTGACCTTCCAAACTGACAGGGGTTCTGTGGCAGCTGCTATCTGTCTGTGGCACTTACTGTTCGCACTAACTTTTGGCCAAGGTCATAGCTGGGCCTGGCCCGAATTCTGGATCTTAGCCAGGACCGGTGAATGGTTACACTAAGGGCTGAGGGGTGAGGAGACACCTGGGACCCTGCCCTACGCCCACCCTGGGCCTTTGCCTCTCCTGTCTTCCTTCACTACATTTTAAACGTCACAGTCTCACGGGAAGGGCTGGGGTTGGCGTTTTACCATGACTTCTGCTTTGAGGACCTACTGTTCTGGTTATCCAGTGCATAACAAGCCACGCCGAGGCACAGCGGCTTGAAGCAACACAGACACCCATCGGCACACACTCCTGTCGTGGGGGCAGGGTTCAGCAAGGACGGCTCCCATGTCCTCCATGTTACCTAGGGCAGCTTGAAGGCCAGCTGGGCCAGGAGATTGGAAGGTTCCTGCACCTGCGTGTCTGTAACCTGATGCTGGCCACTGGCTGGGGCCTCAGGGGCTCTAAGGAACAGCTGGCTGGAGATCTCTCCATGGGATGAATTTGGGTTTCCTCATAGCATGGTGCAGGATTGCAGGATGATCAGTCAGAGAGGCAGACAATCAGGTAGACACAGAGAAGAGAGGAAGAGGGAAGAGACCACAAGGGACAGTTAGTGACCTCTTTATAGCCTAGCCTCACACATCACACAGAATTGTCTGTGCCGTGTTCTATTGGCCAGTGTGACAGGGGCTACTTCCTCTTACTCCCTCCACTGTGTGCACATGCAAGTGAACACACACACGCGCGCACACACACACACACACACACACACACACACAGAGTCCCCGCTGGGCCAAGTCCTGTTTTTTCTGAAATGATCTTGTTTGTGGTGTCCTGAGACTTGGGGGAAATTCGTTCTTTGGCAGTCGGCAAGGCTGAAGCTGTACAGAGGGGAATGTTCTCCTCAGCCTTCTGCTCACCGCTCTGTGCTGGGAGCCACTTCTTAGCCAAGTTGGAGCCCTGCCGTGACTGCGGGACTGGAGAGGGCCCTGGCGGCTCTCCTTTCCACCCAGAGAGCTGCCTGCACAGCTGCTGTTTTTCACTTAGGACTGTCTCGCTGGTCAGAAGCCCGATCCATGGATTGATGGGGACAATTGCTCCCTGCCGGCGGCAGCGGGAGTCAACTATTCAGCTCCAGCTCGTAGCCCTAAGGCCCATAGGTCCTCTCCCCGGAAGTGGAAGTTGGGGTCAAGAGGGTCGAGGGGTCGGCCTGGGCCCCGCAGAGGTAGAGCCTTCTCCACTGGCCAGGGAAAAGGGCTTCCTGTGCTGTCACACAGGCTCGGATGGTAAATAGCTGAGGCATCACTGTTCAGGGGCTCCTAAATTTGCAGACAAGGTGGATTCCATGGAATCCCCAATTTGTGGGCGTGAGCACCAAGTGACTGTGACACTGTCACCTACTGCACCTGTCAGCCAGGTGGGCACATCCGAACCCTCTGCTTTTGGTCTGTTGGAGACGTTAAAGTGAGGTCAGAGGCTTTAGTTATTCATAACGATTTTTGAGTGGTGGCTACCACTTACTTTATGAGTCAGTTCATGTTGCACTTATCACAGTGCAAAGGACATATTACATGCTCAGGAAAGGTTAACAATTATGGTTACGATGTGCCAGGCACCATGCTGAGCCCCTCCTACCACTGGACTTCAATGCAGCTCATCACTCACATATGCAAGAGAGGCTCCTTTGTGCCTCAGCATCCTGATCTGTAACCTGGGCACAATCACAGGACCTTCCTCACAGGGTTATGCGATGACTCTGTGGGTGAATACACTGAGAGAGCCTGGCACACAGCTGAATATGTGTTAGCTGTCACCATTGCATACCTCTGATTGTTTCATTCTTGCCTGTGCCCAGAATATCCTTCCCACCTCTTCATAAGGCTGACTTCTCATGCTTCAGGAATTGCTTCAAGGAAACTGACCACACAACAGAACGCTCCCTGGCTGCCCACTCTCCCACCCCACTGCAATTCATTGTCTGCTCTTTTCCTAGGCTGTGAACTCCAGCAGGGCAGGGACCTGACTCCTTTGTTCACTGCTGGCCTCTGCACCCAACAAGGTGCCTGTGTACAGTAGGTGATTAATAAATGTAGCATGGGTGAATAATCCCCCGCCAACTTTGCTTTATTCATTCCACAACTACATACCCAATACACACTGATGAGTAAGATGCTCGGGTTCTGGCTCTGGAGACTTTTGCATTTTAGCCAATTTTTAAAGCTCTCTGACAGCTGGGCGTGGGTGGCGCATGCCTGTAATCCCCGCACACAGGAGGCTGAGGCAAGAGGATTGCCGTGAGTTTGAGGCCAACTGGGGCTATACAGTGAGTTCAATGCCAGCCTCAAAAACAACAACAACAACAAAACCCAAGCCCCATAAATAAATAAATACATAAATGCAAGCTCTCTAACAGGGCTGCCAGCTCTGCTTGGGCAGCCTGTACATTGCGTAAAGGCATCTGGATCAGGGGATGAACTGGCGGCTGTACGTTAGTCTGGGCTCTGCTTACCAAGCTGTGTGTCCTGGTATGGTGTGCGTAAGTCTGGAGGATCACCTTTTTGTAATTAACTCCAAGTTGTCTTAAGAGATGAGTAGCCAGGCTTGATGGTGCACACCTGTAATCACAGCACTTGGGAGGCTGCAGCAAGTTTGCCAGGAGTTCAAGGCCAGCCTGGGCTACATAGTGAGTTTAAGGCCATCTTGAACTACATAGCAAAACCCTGTCTCAAAACAAACAAAAAGAGGTGGGTAAACTAAGGTGACAGTTATGGTCATATTCCCTTAAAGGAAGGAGACAAGATGTCAGCTGGATCTGTGATTTCTTTGGAGGATCTCTGCATGGGGTACAGGCATGGAGTGCTGGAATCGGTCTCTGAGCCCTGTTTGTGAGGTGGGGAAGCGATGCTGGGGGACTCAGCCACGATGGTGGGGTTCTGTGTGCAGTGAGCTTGACACCAGGCCCCTTCTCAGCCTTCCCGCTGCTCTCAGGCCTCTCCCTGTGCAAATGCCTCCCTTCCTGTGCAGTTTCCCCAGCCCTCTTGACAATCTTCTTTCCCCATCTCTTCACATCCCCTTCCTTGGAATCCCGTGCAGGCAGGCAGAGTGACAGGCGTCTCTCCAGCGACAGGCCTTACCTCAGGCTCCCCGCCTGCACAGTAGGGCCTGGCTTAACATGGGGTGTACCAAGGTGCTTTGAAAATCCACAGTGCCCTGCAAACTGGGGAGAAATTCTGCCTTCTTTCCATGAGTCTGCCAGTTCTCCTTGCTTAACCCTTCCCTCTCTTCCTCATTCTCCTCATCTTTAACAGAGGTCTACCATGCACCCCGCCGGGGGCTCCACAGTGCCACTTCTTTGAGATTCAGGCCTGAGTTCCCATGCGGCCAACAGGCTTTCCTACCACACCCCACAGGCCGCTCCTGCCTTGCTGGGCTTGTGGAAGCTGGGAGGGGTCAGCCTGGGACTCTCGGACCTGTCCACTCTCCAAACCCCACTGAACCTCCAGACTGGGGTCGGGGGGCTCTGACTCTTTTGTCTGTTATTATCCTCAAGGTCCATAAGGACCCCTTTTCCAAAGTTCAAAGAAAAAAAAAACAGGCCTAAGAAACTGGAGTTGCATACATTTTTTAATCGAAATAAGTCAGCCTAAGTATTGCTTTTACAGGTTTATCGAAATCAAGTATTCACACTGCTCACATTTTCAAAAATATATTTCTGGCCAGAGGAGCAGCAGGGTGCTGCCCCAGTGCGAGCTCTCAGTCCTGCCAACTTGATGAAGAGCAAGCAACTTGAAACGAGTACATCAGAGCCCCACCCTCAGCCCCATTTCCTCGGCTTTTTTTTTTCTGAGTCACCCCCAAAGCAGTCATTGAGACCAGACTCGGTCTATAAACCCAGCTGGGCTCAAGGCTCAACTGGCAGAGGAAGGACCTAGGCGTCACCTTGGGTGTGGCTGCAGCTTGGTTTCGAAGTCTTCTCCGGAGGTGAAGTGGGGGAAGCAGGTGTCATGGGGAGCGAAGTGCAGGGCGGCAGCCTTGGCCGGGATCCTGTAAACATCCATCCTGACCGCTCGAGGTCATACACCCAGGCCCAGGCCAGGCCCTCTGAGCCATCGGAGAAGTCTTCCCTGCTCTGTGGGGAGCAGGGCCTTCTTGGCCTGGGCACTCAGTCCCAAGCTCCCTTTCCACTCGCCCGGGTTCAGACGGGAACCTCTCTGTTGGCACGAAGCTTTGGAGGGGTGCAGGCCTAACAAGAAGAAGGATGTTGTCAGCAAGGAGACCCATTCTGCTACCAGTCTGGCCAACTCAGACAGGCCCCAGGCCTCCGGAGGCTCAGGGCGAGACGGGGCCGTCTTCCTCCCTCCTTCAATTCCCGGGACCACCAGAAAACCTGCACTCGGGCTGGGATGTCTTTCTATTTTTACTACAAATGCTTTTTAATAAATTCACTTAATGTGAGAGACTGTGGGCCGGAGAAACGGTTCAATTTTACATGGAGAAAAAGCACTGTCCTGGCCACTTGGGCAGGGTACAGTGTCCAGGCTCAGCTCAGCAAGCTCTGGGGGAATGGGCGGGACCTGCCAGCTCCTCCCACCTTGCAGGGAAAGTGCTCTGTGGCCTGCAGGAAAGGCTCAAGCAGCCCAAGCCCCTCAGCAGCACCTGGCTGCCCCCCTACACCCCACACAGCATCCTCCCCATGCCCGGACCCCATGGCAGGTCCTCTCTTCCCACTCCCTCCACTGTCCAGCGGGTGCCGGCATCACAGCAGCGCCTTGTATCCTCAGGCCCACCCTCCTGCCAGCCCCCACATCCTCCCCAGCTCTGAGCCTCATCTTTGCTGGCTCAGACTCCTCCTTCTACAAACTCTACTGAGCATCGGAAGAACTACAGTGCCCAACATGCAATGCACACTCTTGTTCAACGGGGCACTACTACTGACACCAGGGCAGAAAAATTCGTGGATGTAGGGGCTGTTCTAGGCACAACATGCTTAGCAGCATCCCTGGCCCCTGACTGCTAAATGCCAGTAGCACCTCCAGTCACGGTGATGGCTAAAAATGTCTCCAGCCCCATTTCTTAGGGCCACCTAAGAGGGAAGAACTGTTCCCACTGAGAAATGCACGTCTCCCTGCTTTACAGGCTAGAAAGTGGAGGCTGAGAAGCCTCGTGACAGCCATATTCCCGTGAGAGACAGCTGGCGCTGGACTAGTAACACAGATGGAGATGATCGCAATCAAGATCGTGCCCACTCCCCGAGCACTGGCTGTGTGTGCAGTGTGTGCAGTTCTCTCACCCCTTCCCAGGGCACTGGCCAGGCAGCTTCCAACTACTGGGGCTGGTGACTGCTGGGCTGAGATCTCTTTTAGCCTCCAGAACCTTCCCAACCCATGGGCTCCCAGTGCAGGCAGAGTCAATGTGTCCCTGTACCCTGAAATTGCCCTCCTCGAGGGCCAGCCAGCAGGGCAGTGTACCAATACCCCAGGCCCCTCTGCAGTGGTGGGGATGACTCTGAGGCGTATTTTGCACCCACTCTCTGAGTTCAGGGACAGAGAGGTAACCTGCTCGATGCCACACCCCTTACCAGTCTCTTTCCCTTCCCTGCCTCACCTCCCAAATAAGTAAGTTGCACCTGAATCCTCACCACATGGTCATTCCATTCTATCCTAACAACGCCAGCAGCTACGTACTGCTAAGACTCCATTTGACAGATGCAGCAACTAAGTCTCAGTCAAAAGATGCTCACCTCCGATTGCTGGACTCAGTGCTGGCAAACCTATGGTACGGGTGTTACTTGTTTTTCTTTTATGACAAAAGATGTTACTGTATGAGTTGTTTTTTTTGAACTAAAACCTCAGTACTCAGGCTTCACTGCAGTGTTGGCACTTTGCGATGGGTAAATGGGTTTTGGGTTACAGTTTGGGCCCTCATCTCTGAAAGGTTCACCACCACTGCCTGGAGTCTGGCTTTCCCTCATAGCTTTGTCTCGTTTCTGATTTTATTTTTAATGGTTTGTGTGCGTGCGTGTGCGTGTGTGTGTGTGTGCGTGTACTCATAGCTTTGTCTCATTTCTGATTTTATTTTTAATGGTTTATGTGTGTGTGTGTGTGTACTCATAGCTTTGTCTCATTTCTGATTTTATTTTTAATGGTTTGTGTGTGTGTGTGTACTGCCGGGGATCTAAATCCAGGGCCACACACATGCTAGACAAGTGCCACTGAGCTACATCCGCTGCCCCACTGGAGATTTTAAATAGTACATGTTACACCTGGCTATCGGTACTCCATGAGGAACACAGGGTAGCCCTGGCCTTTGAGACACAATCTACCTAGCAAGCAATTTCAGCCTGAGACAATACACCCACCAATGGGAAGGAGGGGGTCTCAGGTATCAGTTCTACCCCAAGGGCATCCAGGGAGAAGGAAGGGCTGGGGAGGAGAGGGCCGGCAGGGCCACCAGCTTCTAGTGGTTTGCTAGAGGGTGGGAGTGGGGCAGGTAGGAGGCAGGGGACAAATCAGCCAAGTTTCATGTCTTACGCCAGACTCATCTGCCAAATGCGAGCTGGGAACATGTCCTGCCACTGCTCAGAAACCTCCCTTGGCTCCCACTGACCCCAGGGAACCTGCCAGTGGAGGGGAAACAGGGGCTTCAGCCAGGGCACTCTGGGGTTCCTCTCCCATTGCCCCAGAGTGCACCTGCTGCTGACCTCCCTCCAAGAAAACTCTGGGGTGGGTGGGGATGGGTGTGAGGGGTGGCACCGAGACCCCTAGTGACCAGAGACCTGTAGAATGTTTATTCAGATCTGCCCTCCCCAATGCTCACAGTGGCGATCCTCAAAGACCTGGACTGGCGCATGGGCCCATCTCAGCTTGTGTGGATGGTGCTGCAGACAAGGACCAACAGGGACGCCTCACTGCTCACCTCGTGACCACAGGCATCCAGTGCAGTCCCCACAGGTGCAGGGCTGGCGGAGCCCCCATCACATGAGCTTACTTCTGTGTGCATGGTCCTCGCTTGGGCTCTCCTGCTCCCTCTTCCTTGAATTTATCTTTGGGATCACCTTCTATTTTTAGCAAATGATCAAAACATTTATTTCACTTTAAAAAGAGCTGGTTTAAAGGAAACAACGATGTAAAGAATAGTCCAGGAGGCTGGCAGATACAGCAGCACACGTGAGTCACGTAGGCGTGGAGACCTATCTGGATGGGGTCTGCTCCCTCCACAGCTGAGACTGGCCTGGCAAGGGTAGTGACCTGTCGGAAGCCACATAGCAAGCTGAGGACAGAGATGTGATCTCAGGTTTCAGTATGTGCAACTGGAGGCTGTCCTGGGTGCAGTTCCACTTTCATCTGTGTCACCCACTTTGGCTGTTACACACCAACCCCTTGTTCCTCTGACTTGCAAGTGTAGCCTTGGCGGACTTCCAGTGATGACCACCATGACAGATGACATTTACCAAGCACCCCCTTCTTTACGTTCACCTTGTATCTGCTGCTTTCATTCATGTCAGCCCACTTATTCCTCAGAACAACCCCAGTAGGTAGGGCTGAATAGACCCAGTATCACTGCACTCCAGATGGGGCTCAGAGAGGGTAAGGAAGTGATGCAAGGCCACACAGGTTGTAAGTGAAGCAGCCAGGATTTGAACCTCGTGATCCAAGCCCAAACCCTTTCCTCCAGGCATCAAGAACCTCAGACTGAAAATATCCTAGGAGTTGTAGCTTATGGAATCCAGGGCAGTAGGTTCTCCACCCTCCAACATCAATAGAACATGACAGATAATTCATTAGCCATTAGTTGTTTTGTTTTCTTCTTTCTGGAGCTATAACCGTTCATTACAAGCCATTCCAGGTCACTTCCCAGGGCTGGACAGAGGCACAGGCTGGATGGCTCATTTTTGTTGTCAGAAGGGGAGTTGTGTACTTCATCCATTTTTTTTGTTTGTTTGTTTTTTGGCCTTTTTGAGACAGGGTCTTGCCATGCAATTCAGGCTGGCCTTGAGTTCACTTTGAGCTCAGGCTGGTCTTGAACTCGCAATGATCCTCCTGCCTCAGCCTCCCAAGTGCTGGGATTACAGGTGTGCGCCACCAGGCCCAGCTTCATCCATTTTAGGAAGCAGTGTTTTTCCTCAATACTTCTAGGGAGAAGCTGTCCCGTATGGGGTTGGGGATAAGTGGGAGAAGGGTTCATGCTGAGAGTACTGGTGGGAAGTTGCCCTGGACAGCTGCAAAGATGGTTCCTTTTTGCAGTTCACTGCTCCACGGCGGTCAGTGTAAGTGCTGGAATCAGCCTGTGGGACCTCAGGCAAGTCATCCAACTACCCTGGGCCTGTTTCCTCATCTGCCAGTGGGCCAGTGCCCACCCCACTGGGATGTATGGCGATACCCAGCTCACATAAGGCATCTGCACAGGGTGGCCTGCCCCTCCTTTTCTCTACCTGTGTTCCCAACTAGAACCCAACAGCAGCAGAGAGAGCTTCTGTGGTTCAAAGACTCTGCCTTCCAAAATCCAGCTGCTCATTCCTTTCTGCGTGTGCTAATGAACTCTAACAGTGGCTACAGATAGACATCACCCAATGTGACCTGCCCAGAGCCTCCGCTGTCCTGGGGCAGGCTGTGCAGCAGGGAGGCCTCACCTGGCTCACTAGTGGGGCATGGCTGGGGTCTGGCCATTGCTCTGGCTGCCACAAGCCACAGCAAAGGAGGAAATACCCATTTCCACAGTGGCTAGAGTCCCCAAGGGGAGCCAATGTCATGGAGGAACAAGAGCCACTTTCTCACGTCTGGGAGCGGATTCCATTCTGGCTGTCGAAGCTCACCAGTTGCGGGCCACGTGAAAATCTGTGGTCTACAGTGTGCCCCCAGCTGGTGACTGCCAAACATCCTGGGAGCCTTTCAGAGAGGCGACATTTGTACTGCATCTGAGTCTTGTCATATCCAAGAACCACCTGAACTATTACTACATCAGCAGTACAGGTTGCATATCCCCTATTGGAAGGGCCTGGACCACAAGTGTTTCAGATTGGGGAATATTTGCATCCAATAATGAGGTCTTGGGGATGGAATCCAAGTCTAGACACACAGTTCATTTATGTTTCATATATACCTTGTGCACAGTGCCTGAAGATAATTTTACACAATATTTTTAGTGCATCTGCATTCTGATTATGATTGTCCCATGAGGCTTTGGGTGCAATTTTCTACTGATGGCATCAGGTCAGCACTCAAAACTTGTGGATTTTGGAGCATTATGGATTTTCAGATTAGGTATGCTCAATCTACATTTTAAAATCAATGCGTTTTTTAAAAATTCAAGCTTTAAAGGGAACAGTTATGTCACTATCATGAATAAAATATAACATCAGTTGTCATAAACAGAAGGCAAGGCTAAAGATGCAAGGAAGATGAAACTACCCAGTCTAGCTTGACAGCCCTTAGCCTGGCACTGGTAAAAAGGAAAACAGAGCAAGTTGCCAGGCAGGCCAGGGCAATACAGACTGGCTCCTTCTCCTAGCTCCCAGGAACGCCCCCCTACCCAGGCATCTCACTGGAGAGGCTTTGGGCGAGCACAGCTGGAGCTTCAATGCTGCCACCTCAGAGCTGGGCATCTAGGTTGAAGCACTGAACCTCCCCAAACCTCAGTTTCCTTCCCTGTCTAATGAGCCCTGCCCAGCCAGCTTCAGAAGGTGACGCTCAAGGGAAGCTGTGGAGTTGTGGGAGAGGCAGTTATTTTTAACTACCTAGCCAAGCGCCTATCAGGAAGGAATCCTGGGAATGAGACCCTACCCTTGGGGCCCAGGATGACAGCTGTGAGGACACCAGCACCACTTGGGACTCACCAGGTAGCAATGATCAACACCCTGGGCCCTCAGAAGAATGAGGGTATCCTAGGAAAGCATTCCTGGGCTAGCACCCCTTCTGGGTCCATCACACACCATTAACACTGATCACACTTATTAAGTGCCAACTATATACACCAGCCCACCAAACTGGCACAAGCCCTTAGGCAGGTACTATTATTCCTATTTTACAAGGAAGAAAACTGAGGCATGGGGAGGTGATGTCACTTGTCCGAAGTGTTGGTGGAGCTAGGATTTAAACACAAATGTTTCTGATGGCAAAGCCTCTAAGCAACAACTTTAGAGGGTACATGGAAGCCGCTGTAAGCATCACATATACATGGCAAGCAAACAACTCACTTTGCAGTGCTTGGTCAAGAACTTTGATTTCTTTGAGGAGAAAGTTCCAGTTTGGTCTGGCACTCTTTTTTTACCTGACAGTTGCTAATCTTTCTTTCAACAAAGACAGGGCAGACCACAGGCCCTGAGCCATTAACTGAGTTTAGTATTTGGCCAGATGTTAATGACTTTGGCACTCCTTTTGATCTATGCCATATGACGATGATTTCCTCTTTACAGTGACACAGACAGTCTCTTAAAAACAAATCCACATAGGCTGAGCGCGTTGCTCAGTGGTACAGCATGTGTTTAGAATGTGTGAGGCCCTGAGTTGGATCTCCAGCACCACCAAAACTTTTTTAAAATAAAAAAAATAAACCCACATAAAAAAGTAAGTTAAAAAACAACACAAATGAAGCATGAAACATAGTGTAATACGCTTTAAGGAGAAATATAGTAACTTGGCAGTAGAGAGACCTGGCAGACACTACCTCCAACAAGCGACCAAAGTCAACAGGGCGACTGATGGGACAGGCAGCCCGGGCCTGTTGACACCATCCACTGCTCTCTTCTGTGCTGTTCCTGCCAAGAATGTGCCACCTGGAATTTATCCTGGGAATAAACATCAGACAAACCACATGAGAGACAGTTCACTAAATTCCAGACTTGGGCTCTTCAAAAATGCAAGCAGCATGAAGATAAAGAGAGACTGTGGAACTATCCCAAACTGAAGAAGGCTAGGGAGACCTGGGATTGGGTCCTAGATCCCAACATCCCTTTCGTTGTTAAGTCACTACTGGGAAAAACAATTACATCTGATTAAAGTTACAGATTAGATTTGGTCAAAGGACTGCATCGTTACATTTGCTGATGTGGGCAGTTGTACTGTGGTTATATAAAAATACCCTTGTCCTATGTAAGGATGCACTGAAACATTTAGAAGTAAAGGAGTGTAATGTGTGCAGCCCATTTTCAAATGGTTTAGAATGTGTACATACACAGAGAGAACATGCTCACTTGTGTACGTGAGAAAATGTAAACTGTAAAAGGTGGCTTTGGGTGACTGGTGTATGGGAATTCTTTATATTCCTACAACTCTTCTGTAAGTGCCACATTGTTCCAAAACATTTTTTTTTTTAAGAAAAATTCACAAAAAAGGAACAATAGTGCACCTGAAGCATGCCTGGTAGAAACTGAGTTGGAGTTTGGTATGGCGGCATGCACCTATAATCCTAGCATTTGGGAGGCTGAGGCAGGAGGACTGCCATGAGTTCAAGGCCAGCCTATAATCCTGGTATTCAGGAGGTGGAGACAGGAGGACTGCTGCCAGTTCAAGGCCAGTTTGGAATACATAGTGAGTTCAAGGCCAGCCCTTGAATGGGACCTGTCTCAAAAAATTAAAAAGAAAAAGAAAGAAAGAAAGAAAGAAGAAGAAAGAAAGAAAGAAAGAAAGAAAGAAAGAAAGAAAGAAAGAAAGAAAGAAAGAAAGAAGAGTTGGTATTTGAGGATGGGACTTTGGAGACCCTCATACAGGGCCCTTGTCCCCCTGGTAGCAACAGTACTGGGGCAGGTGCCCTGCTTGGCTGTCTTGGACTCATTCCCTTGATCCTTCACTTCCCCTTTCTGGGCTCCAGTTTCTTGTGAGACTGGAATAAAGATGTCTGTCCCTTTCATTGTAATTTTAGTTTCCCAAAAGCAAACTATGCTTTCAGAAGTTGCAGGGGGAAGGGAGAAGATGAACCAGAAATACAAATGGTTGAGTTCAGCAAACAGACATGGAATGTTGTGAAGGGTGAGTGGTAGGACCTGCCTGCCTCGGCTGAAACCTCCAGTTAGTGTGAACTCAGGGCCAAAGGAGAAAGGCCCTTGGATCCCAGCTATCTTGAGACGTGCTGGAGGAGTCCTCTCCTGTTCAAGCGGGCAGCCAGCCCTGATAAACCCATCTGAGTGAGCCTCATGTCAGCAGCAGGGCTGGAGGTTGGTTGGACCTGGGGGTGCACCTGCTTCTCCACACCACCTTCATCCTCCTCTCACCTGAATGACAGCCTCAGCCTCCTGCCTGGGGCCCAACACCTGCCCTAAACCTGCCCCAAGCTCCTCAGGGTGCCTGTGGGCTCTCCCATGACTCAAATTTGACGTGTCCATGTCCCCATGGAGGGTGTGGGCTTCTGAGTTGGGCAGTATGTAAGCCCAGCCTGAGCCCAGCCTGAGCGGTCTGCTGACAGCACAGGCTGCAGACCAGGAAGGAGGGAGAAGGGCAGGTGAACTGGGAAGGAACATCTGTGGCCTGGGGAGCTGGGAGAACACAGAAGGCTGCAAAAACCTGTAGTAAGATAAACTAAGGGACTGGTTACCTTGAGCTCCAAATCCTGGTTGCCCCAGGCTCCCCGACTCTTCCAGTTTTCAACCCAGAGATAGCTCTGGCTAAAGCAGCACCTCCATGGGCCAAGAAAGGGCTTGTGAGCACCTGTCACCTTCAATGGGAACTAGGACAAATCAATCCAGCTGAGCTGCCCAAATGCCCAAATGGTTGGGATGTGAGGACTTTCTCTGGCTCCTAGAACAGCTGAAGCAGCCCTTTCTCCTGGGAAGGAGGGACCTCCTGATTCCCCACTCCCTACTCCTGGGCAACAATTAATGCTCTAGGAAAACTGCACAGCCAGCTCTCCAGAGCTTTAGATCTAGTGCCCTGGAAGGTCCCAGGCAGGAAGGTAGAGCTGGCAGTCTGAGGTAGACCACACCTGGACCTTCCCTGCACCTCAGGCAGCCAAGCCTTTTTGCTTATTATGAGGTATAAATATTCATGCAGGAATACAGGTGCAGGTTATGCACTGGCAATGGCCTCTGTGTACACACTTCCTATCATATCTGACTGCTAACAATAAGAGCAATTAATATCATTATTTACTATACAGAAGAAAGCCTGTTTAATCCTCACAAGGCAGATTTTCACTATCCCTGTTGTATAGAAGAGGAAACTGATGCAGGAGGAGGTTAAACAGCACGTTCAAGGTCACATTGAGGCCTGGATTTGAACCTAGCTAACATGAATCCAGAGTCTTGGCCACCCCAGCCCCCCCAGGGTCCACATCAGTGTTTCCTGGATTGGCTTTATAAGTAAGAAAGAACAAGATTTGACCTCTGCCATTCTTCTGCTTATGGTAAGGGGCCCAGAGATAAGGGCCAATGAGATTGTCATGAGATACTTCCCAGAGTTTTTCCACTGCTGGTCACCCATCCTGCACCATAGCATCTGGGCTTCCTCAGCCCTAAGGCCAAGACCTCCCAGTCTGGATTTGGGGACAGGGAGGAGAGAGTGCTATGCCTGGCTTCCACATCTCAGGCCCGGTGTTTCCACTTTCTGGTATCAGGCCCTGTCACTCCAAGAACTTTGCAAGTGTGTCCCCAAGAGATACTTCCTGGTATTTCTGCTCAATAGCATTTGCTGTAAAATATGTCAGAGCATTTTGGCTTCAGTTTTCAGCTCAGAATATGCCAATGTTTTCATTTGGAAGCGGAAGTGTTTCTGTTGATGTGGTAAGCAGATAAAATAAGACATTCTTCACCAAGTTACACTGTCTCAAAGTCAAGCACTTGGCTTGAGGATAGGGATTCATCTTGAGATCACCAAAGTCTAGCACACAGGACAGCAAAAGAGCAAGCAGGGGCAAGGTTCACTGAATGACTGAATGAGAGATCATGTGAAGGGCCTAGAACCACAGATGGCATATGGTCAATAGTAAAGCTTTTGAACGGATACCAGAGGTTCTACTTCCAACAAGGGTTCTCAGTCCGTTCCTGTTTTCCTGTATTGAATGACCTGTTCCAAGTCTCTGTCCATAGGACAATAATAATCTCCTAGCTATCTTCCCTACTTCTGCACTTGCCCTTCATCCCATTCTGCCACAGCTATCAAAGCTATCTTTGCAAAAGGTAAGTTGGATTGTGTCATCCCCTGCCTAAAACCTTCCAGCAGTTATCCACTGTTCTTGGCCATGGCATTCCAAGTCCCGCACAGTGTGGGTCCCTCGGGCTGCTCCTGAGTCTTCTGTGAGGAGTCTCCAGCCACACGGGCCTCCTTGAGTTGCTGGATGAGCCAATTCTCTCCCCTCTCAATGTCTCAGCACAACAGCTGCCTCTGCCTGGTGTGCTTTTCTCTGGCTCCAATCAATTTAGGGCTCAGCTCAAATGTGTCAGCTCTTCACAGGGGCCTTCTCAGGCACTCCTAGTGAAGCAGGAGTCTCTACTCTATATAGAGCATCTATCAGGTGGCAGGGTGCTGAGGAAGCAGCAGTGAAGCACAGGGGAGGCCCAGTCCTTCTTGCACGCCTTCAGAGTTCTTACCAATCCTCACGGGCTTGTTGGAGACTTGCTAGTCTTCCTCACAGGTGTCAGGAGGGCCAGGGCCCTCTTGCTCGCTGTGTTTACTTCCCAGGTGCAGTACTGAACAAATAAAAATGGATGGAAGACAAGCAGGTAGGAATGCAGAGCAGCTGGGCCACATCCCACCTGGCTCTTGACTCCTGATAAGACCTCACTGTCCTCAGCTGAAGCTTTCTTCAAAGAAATCCTGCTGTTGGCCCCTTAGGAGAGCTTTTCGCCCCCAAGCACTGCTGCAGCAAGTCCTGCCCCACCCTGCATCAGTCTCTGCAGCAGACTGAATGTTTGGGTCCCCCAGTCTCTAAATTCCTATAGTGCAACCCTGTTTCCAATATGATGGTATGAGGAAGTGGGGCCTGGGAAGGTGATCAGTTCATGAGGGTGGAGCCCTTGTGAATGGCATCAGTGCCCATTGAATAAGCACTGTGAGAAATGTTTGTGGTTTAAGCCATCCAGTCTATGGATGCCATCACAGTATCTAGAACTGATTTAATAACCCACTGACTCTGGCCATGTTGGCAAAGACTAGTAACATAGCAGAGGGGTAAATAGCATCTTTTTACCAAAGGGAGGCCATGCCCACCACCTCAGCAACCCTTTCCGTTCTTACACAGGCTCCATGCCCAGCAGAACTCCAGCATCGTCCAGCCACAGGCTCAGCCAAGAAGTCCCTGTCTGCCCCATGACCCCTCACTGGCGCTGACAGCTCCCCAGCGGTCTGCCGGGCACACATGTTCTGTCTTTCACTTAGTCCAGCTGCCTCTCCTCCTCTCTGCTGGGTGACTTTGGCCACTCTTACTCCTGCTGAGACGTTCATCTTCCTGTCTCTAACATGCAACATGGGGTGAATACACAGGTCCCTAGTTGAAGCCCAAAGGCAAGAACTTTACCACCTCCTTGCAACACCCAGGAGCCCCTGGAGGCTTTGCAAACACTGCCGACAAAGGCAGCCCTCGCACCAATCTTCACTTGCCTGCTGCATGAAGGCAGCCTGCAAAGCTGGCAACCCCTGCAGAGCTGAGCTGCAGAACTGACATACTGTGACACCCTGAAACCTGACTCCAAAACAGCAGCAAACCCAAGGCCAAAAGGAAGTACAAGGTTCTTTGCTGAAGGTTTCTCCTCTCACAGCCTTGGGCTGGGGCCCTGCACTCAATCCCCACCCAGTCCTCTAGGGTCCACAATGCAAAGGTGATCAGTGACCGGCTTCCTACCCCTTCTGACACCTCCCAGTCTTCTTACTTCCAGGACTAGTGAGAATCCCCAAATCGCCAAGGTCATCATCAAGATAGGCTGAGACTGGTGGGAGGAGCTGGCAGCTGTGCCTTCAGTGGATTTGGGTGCACAGGCTTTTTCCACAAGCCATGGGGATAAGTTCCAAGGCTACCCCAAATGTAACATAGGCCCTGGAACTCCCTTTTTCAACAGCTGTCCCTTTCATTAGGGCGGTTTTCCAACCCCAGCTGAGGGCCTATGAGGGGTCTAGCCATTCCTGACATACAGTTGGATCCGGAGGAGCCTGGCGTGGCGGGGGGTGTGCACCTGGCCTGGGGACACATCCTTCTCCCTTGCCCCAACCAACCCTCATCCCCAGGGCACTTACAGGCCTTGGAGGCCGGGGAGGGTCTCGTCTTGGGGTCCCATCTCCGTCCCGACGGCGCCCCCAACCAGGAGGAGCGGCATGATCCGGGCCGCTGGTCCAGGCCAAGGGTTACGGATCGTGGAAGGGACGGGGATAGAGCAGTTAAGACCCTACTCCAAGTAACCATCGAGGATGTCGAGCTCAGAATCGGCATCATAGAGGCCAGAGCCGGGGTCGGAGAGGACGCCAAGGTCCACAAGCGCCTGGTCCAAGTCCTCGGGCAGAAAGACGAGGCCCACATTGAGGACGATGTACTCCATGAGGAAGGCGTAGTATAGGATCAGCACATTGACGAAGAACAGGCCCACGTAGAACATAGAGGGCAGCAGCGGAGGCTGCACGTAGGAGACCAGGGGGCCCAGAGAGTCCAAGTGGGCTGCGACCCGGGCTCCGGGCATGCAGGGGGCGGCGAGGGAGGCGGCGGCCCGGCGATCCCAGCGACCTCAGCCGCTGCGGCGCCCGGGCGGCCAGCAACAGGGCAGCTCAGCCATCCAGTGCCACCCCGGGGCTGGACCGAGGCGGCAGTAGTCGCCAAGTGGCCTCCAAAGAGTTATGGCGGCCTCAGCACCCCCGGATGTGCGCGTATGCCCCTCTTGACCCTCTGGGTGGCTCGGTGGGACCCTCGAAGTGGCCAGCCGCTGCCCAGCTCCTTGGGTGCGCTGCCCTTCCACTCCCGGGACCTCGCGGAGTCAGAGGGTCCCCCACCGAGGCTCAGCGTCGAGGGTCAGTCCAGGCTGCTGGCTCTCCCGCTCTCCTTGGCTGTCCCCCGAGATCCCTCGGCGTCCCCGCAGGCCCAGCACCCATAGCTGCAGCCGCCGCAACGCTCCTCTGGTCTCGTTCCGAGCACCACCTCCAGAGCGGCCCGGAGCTCATTGGCCTGCCGCCTCTCGCCCACGTTCATTGGCCTGCTCAACACCCGCGCCTATTGGTCCGAGTCCTCAGGCGGGCGGGTACTCCTTCGCTCCGCCTTTCTGCGCGCTAGCTTCAGAGTTGCTTTCCTGGATGCGGTCTGAGCTTTGGTCTCGCCCTACGTACCCAGAGAGTAGCGGAGGGAAGAGAAATTGAACGCAATTCCACTTTAGAAGTATCGCAAGGCCGCCAAAGCTGGAGGACACCGCGGGCTTTCTCTGCACCTTGCTGGGCCATTTGGGTATCTCTTCGGGACGCAGTTTCCCCTGTTTAGGTGGTAGGGTGGAGATGGGTGGCAGGCATTTCCACAGAAAATTTTTATCGTCCCCAAAGCGCCAGTGTTTTTGTTTTTCCATGGCAGGGTGAGAAATAACAGTCAGTACCCCTTCACGTCCCTAAATTCTGCTGCTGGGAGGGTCATTCATGGAGGATGGGAAGAGCGGAATAGACTCAGGATTTAGGAACACTTGGGTGAAGAAAGGTCAAATTCTTAGCTAGTAAGGTTGCTTGTTTATTTTTGCTTTGTAAATAATATTTTAAAACAGTAGTAATGCACATGGTTAGCAGTCAAATAGGTACACAGTCAAGTGAGTCTCTCATCCATGAATTTCCCTGCTCGCAGGCAATCCTTTAGAAGACTGATCTAGAGTGCCTTTCAAAGCAATTCACCGAATCTTTAAATCTAAGGCCGTGCTGAGCTGGGTCTTACCTTGCATTGCTTAATTGCAGCCAGACAAGAGAGAGTAGTATGTTGTCCTTTTTAACAGATGAGGAAACAGCCCTGGAGAAATGCCTGGACCCTGAAAGTTACTGGGCCAGAACCTGTTCTTTTTCCTTTGTGACTTTCTCTTGGTCTTTCTAGATAAATTACTGAGTGAGCCATTAATCCTGTACTGGTCTCCACTTTTCCTGTTTCTGAAGGGAAGACAAACCATTCACGGATAATATTTACCGAATATACCCTATGTGCCAAACTTCTGCTAGGCATGGGGCAGAACACTGGCCCCAGACCCAATTCTTTTTTGAGCACAGATAACGGGACACCATAAGTATTACATAACTATGAGTAGAAATGAATGAATAAATGGATAGTGAACAGAGAAGTCTCACCTCCCACTTCCAATCCAGGAGGAAATTTAGGTAATATATAGAAAGCTGGGTGCTTCCTTTTTTTTTCTTCTTAATGCGGTAGTGTGAGAAATGGCATGGGTTTTGGGCAACAGCAGAGATATCCTCTGAAAGTACAAGATGTTCAGTTTTGATACACTGTTGCTTGAAGACCTTTCCAATATATATTTTTAAAAAGTGAAGTGGAAAAAGAAAAGGTTCTGAGGACAAAGAAGGCTATTACCGATTTTGTGCAGTTTTGGCTTGTTGGGAAATAAAAATAGGGATACCTAGATTTGAACTCTGGTTCTGCTTCTTTCGACTGCCTGACCTTGGACAGGTCAACCTTTGTGTGACTCAGTTTCCTGAATGATAAAATGAGAATAATAATAGTATCCACTTCATAATGTTGTTGTGTGAATTAACTATTTTAATATACGCTTAAGACAATGGCAAATTATCTGCGCCATGAAAGAGCTAATCTTATTCTTATAATAATGTTAATAATTATTAATATTGTGTACCTAAAATGTACCAATAAAATCTCATTGGAAAAAAAATATTGTAGCTACTTCTCTTTGCTTATTTTCAGCAAGTCCTTCAAGACCCCGCCCACCGAGATTGTGCGGCAGCCCCTCCTCCTCTCGCCCCGCCTCTTCGGGAATGCCGCGTGATGCATGCCAGGCCTTGTAGTCCATACGCTGAGTCCTGTCTCGAAGGGCCTCCTAGCGGAACTACATTTCCCAGAGTTCTTCTTGGCAAAGGCCGTAAAGCGCGGCGGTCGAACGGCCGGTTCCGGCTGAATGTCAGTGCTGGGCTGTGGGCCGGGGAGGAAGGTGGTTGGCGATCTTAGTATCACCTCCACGGCTGCCTCTGCTTGTGCTGCCGCCGCGAGCGCCGGACCGCTCGGCCGGTGGGGCATGAGACCGTGAGGCGAGCGCCGGGTCGCGGCCGCCGACATGTTTGGCCGCTCGCGGAGCTGGGTGGGCGGGGGCCATGGCAAGTCCTCCCGTAACATCCACTCCTTGGACCACCTCAAGTGAGTGAGCAGGGGGAGCCGGGGAGGCCGCGGGGCTGAGGGCTCAGAGCTCGGGTCGCGGGGCGCTAGTTGCTGGGAGCAGAGGTGGAGGGCGGAGAGGGCGGCCGGGAGAGTCTGGTGGTTACGAGCGAGGGTTCTGGAGTCAGCGCCTGGGTTCGAACCCTGGCCCGTCGCTCTTGGCTGTCTGTGTGACCTTGGACAAGTCGCTTAGCTTTTCCACCTGTAAAGTAAGAGGACAGGGCTTAGGTTTGTGAACTAAAACTTCATTCTTGCCGGGGCAGTCAGTGGCCACCAAGCTTCCCAGGTGATACTACTTAGACTGTACAGCTTAGGGGTCAAAGGCTTAGATCTTGAGATCGGGCATAAGTCTGGGTTCGAATATACGTGTATGCATTTAGGCCTCAGTTTCCTCAGTTGTAAAATGAATGCATAGTGACAGCGCCTGCTTTCTGGGATTATTTAGAACGTTGGTTGGATAAGGAATGAACAAAAAGCTCAGAACACGCACAGGTGCTTCATAAAGGACAGAAGTTAAAAGAACAAAGTATTTCTTTGGGGAACTAAAGCGAGATAGGTGGCAAACAGTCTCGGGAGAGCAGGCATGTTTTCTGAGTTTCAGTCCCCCGTCAGCAAATGAGAATAATGAACCTTGTACAAGGATTCAGTAACGTCTTGCATGGAGAGTGATTGCCCTGGTACTGTTCCACAGTATGTGGTCAGTCATGATAGCCGTGTTTATTAACTCAGCAAGACCTTCCTAGACCACCCTACCTAAAGTGCTCTCCCCACCCCAATTCCTTTCTGTCAGATCTTTTTCTTGATTTCATTTCTTGCATACCTGCTATCTTCCATTACCCTGTTTATTTTTACTTGATTTTCCATCTCTTATTAAACTGGATCTTCTAGGAGGGCAGAGACTACTTGGTTTGTTCACAGTCGTATTCTCAGTATCCAGCACTGTGCCCTGCGCACAGCAGAACTCAATGGATACTTACAGAATGAAAAACCTGCATGAATAGATTGGGGAAAAGTGTAGAGCATCCACGTCAAGACCTAGCATTTAGGGGACAGGTGGAATGAGTGATGGAAAATAGAGACTTTTGAGAAGGGAGTAACTTCAGGGAGAAATGTGTGCTTGAGGAGTCAGGATAGTTTTGGAGGTGGGGGGTAGAGAAGACAAGGAGAGAAAAGAGGCCCAGGACCAGGATGGGGGTTGGTAGGGAAGCAGGATTCTTAAATGAGAGGGCAGCTGGCCTGCAAAGGGAGTGGTTTAAGGATTTCAGGAATTTATTGAGTGGGTGGATGTGACTGAGAAGGGGAAGATGGTTAGCCAGAAGGGTTGGGCCTTCGTTTGGTACCAGGTACCAGGCTCTCACCTAACTCGGGCTGACTGTAGCCCCTTTAAATTAATTGAGTATTTATTGTTTTATCCTGTCAGGTATGTGGTGAAGACTTCCTCTGTGTTATTTTCTCAGTCTTCATAAGTCTATGAGTTACAGGAACTTTTATAGTTCCATTTTATAGAAGGGGAAAATAAGATTCAAATAGCTTAAGTCGCTTGCCTCAAGGTGATAGCAGCCAGACTATCAGAACCAGCACTTGACCCTAGAACTTGCAACTCGTTACACTGTTTTTCTGAATTAAAACTTCCCACTGAATCAGTCTTGGGAAGCTTTGAACTTGTCTGTGCTTTATCACTGGTAGGGTATTGCTGCTGTCTGTCCAACCAGCGCACACTCAGGAATGTAAAAGGTCTCAGGTTTCTTTGCAGTATCCTGGGAACTGCCCACCTTCATAGTTTACTTTGCTGGAAACTAGAGCTGCCTGCCCTGAATCAGGCCAATCTGCTTAATCCATGTTATAGCTTGGGAAACCTAGTTATTTGTGTATTGGTATAAGGCTCAGAATATCCCAAGGTGGCTTGGAAAAAGGTGCCATAATCAGCAAATGCCCACCCAGTGTGCACATTGCCCTTCATTTGGCTTTGATAGTAAACATCTTGGGTCTTGGGTGTAGAACAGCTCATTTCCTGAGGAAGTCTACAGACGTGGGGAGAAGCCAAAGAAACAGTGACAGTACAGTGTGGCAAGTGATGGGATTGCAAGAGGCCTAGGGTTCTGTGAGATCCCTTCTTGGGCACTAGAGTGAAGTCTAGGCAAGTCTAGAGTGGAGCACCCAAGGATGAGTAGGAGTCACCACATAGCTCAGCCCAGGTATGTGTGTGTGGTAGGTGTGGGATTTGTGACATGTCAAGATGGGTGGTGTAAGTTGTAGGAAACAAGGCTAGAGGTAGCAAGGGCTTTGAGTTTTATCTGGCATAGAGTGATCAACACTCCTGACTTGCCTGTAACTGAGCCGTTCCTTGAATATGAGACTTTCAGTGCTAAAATCAGGAAAGTCTTGAGCAAACCAGTACAAATTGATCATTTTACCATTGATAAGAGAAAGTTCCTAATACACTCTTGCCTTGACCTAGGGCAGTATGGGTGGAGTAGAAAGGTTAAGATATTTGAAAACATTTAGAATAGTTTTTTTGTTTTTTAAGGTGTGTGTGTGTATTTATTTTGGCACACCCAGCAATCTGGAAACTTATTTTAAAAATACTTTTTCACAGCGTCCCCAGTTAGAAAATTTTCCTGTTTTAGATGGAGTTTTACTTTTGCTAAATAATGGAAAACTGTGTACCTGTAGTCTTTGTTTAGCAAATTAAGTTAATGATTTAGTCGAGGCAGATTGAAATAGTCAAGAGATTATTTGCTACACATCATTGGTAGTTTATTGCCCAAACTACTGGGCAGTTGACAAATGCCTACCACCAACCAGAACCTCAACTGCTGAAGACATTTTTGCTACTGTAATATCATCTTTATGGGGGCTTGAGTCCACAAAGTGATAGAACTTGGTTGTTATGTTGCCTTAATTCTGGTCACATTTTGAGTGGAGATGGCCAAGATTCTTGGTTGCAAGTGACAAACCCATCTGAATTGCCTTATGCTCCAAATGGAATTGATGACTTTGTTACTGGATTGTCTGTCCTGGTTGAACCTCAGCTGAGTCCACGTGTATAGACGAAGCTGTTAGGGACCTGCCTCTTGCTGTCTCTTGGTTCTTCCTCCTCGTGTTGGTACCATTTTCAGGAAGCTCCAGACCCACATTATATGAGCTTAGCAGTACCCGGGAAAAAGAGAATCTCTTTTCTTAGTATTGCTACAGAAGCCCAGAAATAAGTTTTGCCAGACACTCTGGGGATTCATGCCATCCACGAGCTAGTCACTGGGGCCAGATGTGTATGGTGCTCTAAGTGGCCAGGCCTTTCTCACATGCCCTTCCCTAGCACCGGGAATAGGACCAGCTCTAGCCATGCCAGTGGACAGATAATGAAAGGCAGGGGTGGTTTCCCATGGGAGAACCAAAGAAGGTGTGAGTGTACACCCAGCAGGCAGACACTCAACTTAAGTGTACTCAACTTCTGGCCAAGACGCCACCAGGAGCTTGGAGCTCAATGTTAGCAGATTGATTTTCTTGAAATACCGTATTCACTGTATCACACCTAATGGGCCCTAGGCGTCACTGTGTCAAGTCTAAATTCCTGTGGGCCTTAGAACACTCAGGCTGTGTTCCCACCCTTCTAGTTTGGGAGTACAGGGCAAGGAGCATTAGTGGTAGGAAGAGACATTTAAATGGAGACCTAAAAGCTCTAAAGGATGAGTAGTTGTTACCAGGCAGGAGGGACAGGGGTGGCAGTGTGGGTTATTTCAGGTAGAAGAAACAAAGTTGGAGTAAACTTGGAGCAGAGGGAACCGTGCACACTGGCAGAACTCTGGTCATTTAGTAAAGGAGTACAGGGCAAAGGAGAGGTGTAGAACTGTGATATACAGAGGCCAGCTCCCCCTGGGCCTTGTAAATTGTGTTAAGGATCCAAGTATGTGTCACACTGGTTGTCTTCCTCTCTCACTGACGCACACCTCACATGCCCATTTGACTGTTCGTTTTCTCTTTCTACAAGTTTCCCTCTTTTCTTCCTGCCCATCCACATGCCTAACTCTAGCCTTAAAATATCAGTTCTTCCATAAAAACTGCTCTGATAACTTCAGCCAACAAGAATTTTATCATCCTTTCTAACTTGTGTTTGTTCTCACTGCCTCAGTCAATGAACATGTTATTATATATTGTCTGCTCATCTCCAAGAATAGATCAGCTTCGGTCCTACAGGTTTTTACTTTGAGGTAGAGCCCCAGAAAGCTCAGGCTTGTTGTTTTACCATCATAAATTGTCTTAGTTTGTGTATGTGTATGTATACCTATATGTACAAACACCTGTTTGTCTCTCCCAGTGTGAGCATGTGCTTCGTAAAGGCAGAGACCTGCATGGCTTGTATGCTAGCACAGAGACTGGCACATAATAAATGATCAACAAATACTTGCTACAGGATGAACACAGAGGCAAGTTCTGGCCAGCCTTTTCTTAACAACTGCCTGCTCTTGCCAGTTTGGTAACAGGGTCTGTGCAGGAACTCTGGCTTTCTCCAGGCTGAGTGCCCTGCCTGCACCCTCCCCATGTATCCCAGGCCCAGCCCCACTCACTGACCTGGTTTGTCATCTTTAGGAGATGACTCATCAGAAGCACCACCTGTGGGCACCTTTCCCAAATCCTCTAGTGTGATTTCACCCTGGTGGAGCATCTCTTGATTCTGCTGGCCAGAAGACTGGATACTGAATAAATGGCGCTCTGAAGGCACAGTGGACTTCTCAGGGGATGTCTGTAGAGTCTCTCCCCTGGTTCTAAGCAGGCCAAGTCAACATAGGACTGGTGTCTCCCACCTTTTATTCACACTCAAGACATTGTTATTCGGAGGTATTTGTGAATTGGAGAGTGAATTTCTAGTCCTTCAAGCCTCCTGTCACTCTGCTTTCCTGTCTCATGCTCCAGTCTGCAGATCAGTTTCAGCATCTTCCAGGAGAAGCATCTTAAGAGGCATGTTAATGTATATGTTATAAAAT